ACTATCAACATTCCTCTGATACAGTCTCTTGAAAAGTGTTTGTAGACCAGAACCAAACCGAAACGTATAAATATGACACAAATGAAAACATTCCATAATAAACAGTGGCAACAAAGCAAATACACATTTTGGAGAAAAATGATGCAGGTCAGATGTCATTGAGGATTATTCAGCGTATCATATCGTCATACTAATATGACACCTACCCTGGGCCCTTCACTACATAACTTCAAACTGAGTTTAGTTGAAACTTCCTTTTAACATATATGTTGTTTAATGCCACACTCAGCAAATTTTCTGGTAATGTGATGGCAGTGTGTATATAATTTAGTCTGGACCAGACAATCCAGTGATTGATATCATGAGCATCGATCATATTAAAATAGCAATCAGATTAAACTTGACTGGTGTTTTATGATTGAACACTAACGTCAATCTGTTATAATCCATCTCATATATGTACTGAGCAAAGAGGACAGAGCACACATTATCATAAAAATGTCAAATATTCATGGAATGCCGAGATGCCAACCCCAAAGTGTTGCAAAAGTCGCTTTGAGCAAGCACCTTGTTGATGGATACAGCGCTTTATAAATACTCATTATTATTATTATCAAATAGTAGTTCAAGGATTAAAATTAGTAGTTTGACCATAAAATTAGTAGTCAACTAAATACTTAAAATCATGATGTATTCTGATAACGATAATATGACACTAATCAAGAGTGAAGCTTTAATTTCACATACTTCCAACAGCAGATTTCCAAATTATAAGTATTACATTTCTTCTTGTCGTCTCTTTTAAGCGAAAATATATTTAATCTATGAAAAAATGTTTTTGTCTATGTATGCGAATTTTAATCAATTTTCTTCAAATTTCATAGAATTTCTAGTGCAATTGTATTGGCGTAGTTTGAGGATAAAATTCGTAGCGACTACGATAAAATCGTAGAGGTTGGCATCTCTGGGAATGTTTTGCATTAATTGACCTCACCATTCTCGTCTTACTACCCTCGCCAACATATTGTCAGGCTTAAAGTCACAAAAAACAGTATGCTTAATTTCTTTTCATATATCATGGGCTTTTAAAATACCAGGATTTTAAAATTATTTGGATGCCAAAGTTTATTTCAGGGCAGAGAAATCCAGGTGAAATGAAGCTATGGTGGTGAATGAGGCCAGGATATGTATCATAACAGCTTGGACACATAATACCCTGCATACACGAAGATGGTCAGGTGTAGGCGACACTAGAAGATTTTGTACAATTTATGAAAATAATATAAGCAAGATCATCTTGCTTGTGAACGTTTTTTCACACGTGGCAATGTTTGTTGAAGTTTAGAAAATAGCTAAGGAATGACTCTGAGATAAAAGAATAAACACCTAATATCATTAAATTGAGACGGGACAGATACATTCAGCAAGATTCGGCTAAAAAATAGCATACATAATATTTTAGCAATACTTAAAAAACATGGCTGAACAGCATAATGTGCCAAGGTGACGACCATTTGACATTCTGCTTGGGGAATGAGAATTTCTTTGTTCCAGAAAAAAAGGAAAATCATAATTTGTGCTCAGATGTTTAAGCCCCAAATAAATTATTCTTGGGCCATACTGCTTGTCCTGACAAATTGTGATGTTAATTTTGAAAAACAACTTGGTTTCCTTCCTCAGAAATAAATTGCATTTTTTGAACTGTTGTAAAAGCACTGGCCCCAGCAGACTATTAAATGGTGGATCTCGAAAACATTCCTGTCATCAAAAAGCAACATAATATATTTACTAATAAAACAATTGGACAAAACTGAAACACCAGCATATAATTAACAAAAGAGCCACATATTGCCAATTTTGGTTTACACAATAACCATAGTAACATCTTTTTGTTAGTGTGGTTCCTTCAGAAAACAGTTTCTGTGAATCACAGTAAACATTTCTATGTGAGGGACAATGTAGGAATATCAAGACCAACACTGGCAATCAGTGCATAATGTATTCCTACACATTAGTCCGCGTTGACTAGGACTGACTGACTGAGTTTAGTTTTACGCCGCTTTTAGCAATATTCCAGCAATATCACGGCGGGGGACACCAGAAATGGGCTTAACACATTGTGCCCATGTGGGGAATCGAACCCGGGTCTTCGGCGTGACGAGCCAAGCGTGACTAGGATACTAAATATACTCCTCTGAAAATTGCAGGAAGTGTGTGAAAATTCAAGTGAGTGAGTGAGTTTAGTTTCACGCTGCTTTTAGCAATATCACAGCGGGGGACACCAGAAATGGACTTCACACATTGTACCCATGTGGGAAATCAAACCCGGGTCTTCGGCATGACGAGCGAACACTTTAATCACTAGGCTACCCCACCGCCACGAAAATTCAAGTAATCAAACTGCATAGCTCAATCAAATTAACAGCTTATCACAGTCCTCTAAAACAGCTGGTCAATACTGAATACATTATAGATCTTTCAAGGGAATACAAAATATTTGTTGTATAAACGGGCACCTGATTTGATTTTATGACATTTTCACCAGTTTATTTTCCTTTATTATCTGAAGGTAATGCCTAGCCAAAACTAAAGAAAAAAACATGTAAAGATCAGTAAAGTCAAATATCTGATATCTAAGGACATGTGTTTAATATATTGACAAAACATTTGTTTCAAGATCATTTATTACAAAATCAACCCTTATAATTACATGTAATGTTATATTTATTGTACATATCAGCTGATGTCTATAATAGTATATATTATTGCTCCATCATGTGTGACCAAGAAAATTCTGTGGGACAAAAAGGAAATTGCTTGTCTAGTTTTTTAAAAGCTATTTGCACGTTTATATATATCATCACAGGTCCCTTTATAATAATCAAGGATGTTGCAATTACGTATTTTGTTCTATTTAAGTTATTAAATGTTTCCATAGCATGAGACAAGAGTAATCAAGCAATTCGATTTGGTATTGCAAGGGATCAACATTGGACTCAATACAAAAAGGTCAAGGACTCAAAACAAAAAGGTCAAGGACTCAAAACAAAAAGGTCAAGGACAAACAGAGGCCATTTTGGTATTGAGGTATAGGAATATATGTGGAGAATGTTTTTGTTATTCACCTCTTTGCTCAGATAGTCATTTCTGTAAAGTTTGTTTCTTAATGCTGCATTCAGAAGCATTCCAGCAATATACCAATAGTAAATAATCAAGTCAGGACCAGACAATCCAGTGATTGACATCATGAGCATCAGTCTACGCATTTGGGATATGGTGACAAGCATCATCCCAGTCAGCAAGTTTGACCACCCAACCCTGTTAGTCGCCTCTTGGGTTGCTGAAGACCAGTCCTAAGCCTGATCTCCACCAAGAAGTACAAGAAGTCCTCAAGAAGGACATTTCTCAGTGCATCCAACTATTCATCCAGGGTAATGACCACCATTCTCTCAATTAAAATACTATGAATTATCCAGGATGCTCTAAGGTTTAAGCTTTTCATAAATTGATAAACAAATTATAAAACGATCTTAGCCATTCAACTTATCATGTATATTTATGTCTATACCAAATAAGGAATTAATACTTAAAAAACATTAATTAACATATTTTGAAATTAGGTCAAAATACCTTATAAGTCCATTGCTTTTGTCCATGTTCTGAATCTTCTATGGTGAGCAAGTGAGTGAATCTAAATGTCAGCCCTTGTCATCACTGACACATGAGACAGATTACCAAACTTCCAGTCATAAACTTTTCAACACATGGTATTCATCTATATTTTATTTTTGCGTAAATTTTGGCACTGTGCAAATAACAATAACAACAATAATAATTTGGAGTACATTTTCATAGCTCCAAATTCCACACCTCAGTATTCTCATAGCACTAAAAAAATTAACTATCATTACTCTTTTCAATGGATAGTCATTCCCAGCTTCCTGGGGAGTATGCAAAAAGCTACATCTGGATGAAACTGTTACAAACATTTTCAAGGGTCACATTTTGAAAGACTTTCCTGTAAATCTAAAATGGTCATCGTAACGTACATCCAATCTACAATAAATGAGGTCATGTCTCACATATATCATAAAAGATATTTTAACTTCTTTTTAACTCTAATCAAAGTTATTTTGATGTATCCCCATGTTCAAAAACACCTGATAGGCCAAGCTATCTGCAAATAACTCATCAGATTAACCATATTTGTGCATTTCAAAATGTTGTGTTACTACAAAGGCAATAATTCCAACTTCCAGACTAAAACTAAATGGGAAAATAAACAAAAATAGGAATGCACCTACTTGCATATAAAGCCAGGCTGCCTAAAGCTAAACAGAAATATTTTCCTCCCCCAAGGAAGTGTGCTGCTGGTTACCCTTGTGTACATCACCATGACAACCGACTCTCCAAACTCAAAAACATGCCTAAACATTCCAGTTTATCATCCATGTAATTATAACAAGAAGACAGAATTCCAAAACTACCAAAAGGCACCAGTACACCACCAGATCTATCTATGTGCCAAGTTTGGTGAAGAAATAGTGAACGGTTTTAGAGTTCTGCTCCGGAAAAGAGCACTACCACCTATTTCAGGCTAAGTCAAACTTGTTGCCATGGAAACGCCAAAAATATTTTATTCAGAATTCCAAAACTATCAAAAGGCACCAGTACACCACCAGATCTATCCATGTACCAAGTTTGGTGAAGAAATATTGAACGGTTTTAGAGTTCTGCTCCGGAAAAGAGCACTACCACCTATTTCAGGCTAAGTCAAACTTGTTGCCATGGAAACATCAAAAATATTGAATTCAGAATTCCAAAACTACCAAAAGGCACCAGTACACCACCAGATCTGTGTATGTGCCAAGTTTGGTGAAGAAATATTGAACGGTTTTAGAGTTCTGCTCCGGAAAAGACAAATGTGCACGCACGGACGGACGCACGCACGGACGGAGTCCATTTTAATACCCCCTGCAAAACGCGTTGCGGGGGATAAAAAAATTGAACACCCTGAACAAAAGGGCATCCTAATATTCTCATGAGATCATCTAACCCAAATAAATTTGTTCCCCCAAAACAAAATATGCATTTATCTATACAAATATATGTCAAGTCTTTGAATGGCATTTAGAAGTGATACACATAAAGAAAAGATTTTTTATTGATGTCTATTTCTTTATTATGAGAAACAATGTTTCAGAGTATATCCTTACTCCTTCATCAGGTGAATAAAGGAGTACAGACATACTCCGAAACTTTGTGGTCCACATACTAAAGGAGTCGCCATCCATAAAACTCTCTTCCTTAAAATTATGTCCATTCTTGTTCAAAAAAATCTTAACTAAAAAATAAAAAGTGTGGCAGTACAGAAAGAAGGAGGAGTATTCATGGGTCATGGAATGGGTTGCTGAAAGTTGTATGCACCTGGAGCAGACGGTCAGGGAGATGTGACATGTTTTAGCTCGTAGGTCGCGGAGTAAGTCCAAAAGTCTCCGGCTGGAAGAAATGAGTCTCGATACAGTGGACCATGTCGTTCAGCTCCCGTTCTGCTGCATCTCGGTCCATTCTGAAGGTCAAGGTCACATGTAACAAACATTGAATAAATTAGGTTCTCATGATCGAGAGCAACTGCTGAAGTCTGAGTTAAATGTATGCAACTGTCGTCTGACCTCACAGCTTAAGCATGAATGTATCCAAACCGGTTCAGATGCCGCTTATTCGGTCCAAAGTCAATGAATTCAAGCCGCATATGTCAGTAAAAATTCCAAAATTAGAATTAAACATGTCCCAATTCAAATTGTTACAACCCAGGTCTTTGGCGTGATGAGCGTACACTTTAACATGTATTAAAGTGTCCCTGATGCTAAATGACCTACCCTGTAGTAGGATCCGGCTTGTGCTCAGTGTAGTATTTAATTTTGGGTTCGGTGCCACTTGTCCGCAGGGTGGCCACGCAACCATTTTCAAATGTGAAGGTGATCATCTCGGAGGACTTGCTTGTTGGTAGAATCTGGAAATCATTGATATTTAATCATGTAAAGCTAACAAATACACAATGCCAATTAGAAAGTGATCAAATATAACATGGTATATTTGGGATTATTCGCAGTAAAGTACAGATTCCAGTACTTTGGAATTCAACCCTAAAAAGTAGCAGAATCTGTTCCTGAGAAAATAATCCCAAATATAACATAAAGATGGTTTGGGATAGACTGAAATAAGCCACTTGGAAAGTGATCCAATCTCTGGGCTTAAGCCCCCACTCCTAGAAATGAAGTTTAGTGATTTTCAGGAGCATTTGGAGCCTTCTGGTGGCATTATCTTGACACTAAAGATGCATGCTAATAAAAAAAATAATAAGCCTCATTCGCATAAACATCGTTTTAGTACTTTCGTTCATTCAGGCATTCTTTCAATGTTCAACTTTACGCAAAAACGAACGAAAATGCGTCTTAATTTTGAAATTATATTTGGCTACCAGATATGAGTGAGATTATTATTTGGAGGTGTGAGAGCGTGACATTTGTCAATAAAGCGTGAGACTCACGCCAAATGCGTGAGAGTTGAAAGGTATGCAAATATAACATATGGTATAACATATGCCACTTGGAAAGTGATCCAATATAAACATTTATTATATAGGTAGTATTTTTCTTGTACCACGATTGGTCAAAAGACCGTCACATGATTGACTACAAAACACGATATTGACTTGAGTTTTCTGATAAATTACGATATTGACTTGGGTTACTAAAAATAGACAAGGAATCCCGTACGAAGGGGCTTCCCCCGCTTTTCAGCCAATCAGATCACTCGGATAGATGGCACAGTGTTTGCATTAAAAGTTTATGTTAAAACCGTTTCTCTTTCATTATATAATAAAACAATTATAGACTCTTGTACAAGTCGATATCGTTTTATTGACCTGAGAAAAAACAATATCGACCTCGCAAGCGGTCGATATTGTTTTACTCAGGTCAATAAAAACCGATATCGACCTCTACAAGAGTCTATAATTGTATAATGTTATATTTCGGATTACACTCTTCAGTAAAATACAGACTCAAGTACTCTGGAATTCAGTGGCCCAAAAGTACTAGAATAAGTTATTGAGAAAGTGAAATCCAAAATGTAACACATGTTAAAGCTGACATATCATTTTAGAAATGTAAAATTTGCAGATATTATAGGCAATACATTTATGAGTTAAAAGATTTGTTATATTTCCAATCAAATTTCCAGTAGTCAGCACACTGAAGTGGAAGTATATTTGGATTGCTACCAATCTGAACACTATTTTCACTATTCTGTGAGTGAGTGAGTGAGTATGGTTTTACACCGCTTCTAACAATATCCCGGCAATATTATGGTGGGGGACACCGGAAATAGGCTTTACACATAGTACACATGTGGGGAATTGAACCCAGATCTACAGTGTAATGAGCAGACGCTTTATCCGTTATGCTGCCCCATGACGTGAGAGAAGAGCAGGTGATCCTGACCACCCATTGCTTTGTTTGTCTTCCCTTAAGAGTACCATAAACCTATGATCGTGGGTTTTTATCTCCTTTTTGCCCTGGACATAAAGCTGATACTTTATGATATACCTCGAATACTCTCCAAAATGTTGAACTAGATTCACTCAGGAAGGAGGAAGGCATGAAGGATTGATGTCTGGAGTAGACTGTACAAGAAATTCTTTTAGGGACCGTTCATAATTTATGGCAAGGGGGATGATGATGATTTTAAGGAGGGGTCACCCATTTTGTTCTAGGGTGGGGGTGGGGGTTCAATTTTGTACACACATCAGGGGGTCAATTTTGTACATCAAAATATGTTTTAAATTATGCTTAGAAATTATGGGAAGGGAGGGGGTCATTGATTTTGTACATTACATACAGGGAGGGTCACTTATTTTGTACATAAGTTTTAGGGGGTTTCATTCACATTGTACATGCTTCTCCATAAAAATCATCATCATCCCCTAGCCATAAATTATGAACGGTCCCTTAGTTTGTTCTTTGTTTAACGCCGCACTCAGCAATATTCCAGCTATATGGTGGCGTAAGTAATCCAGTCTAGATCAGACAATCCAGTGATCAACGTCATAAGCATCAATCTACGCAATTTGGGATCAATGACGTGTCAACAAAGTCAGTGAGCCTGACCTCCTGATCCTGTTAGACCACTCTTATGACAAGCATGGGTTGCTGAAGACCAATTCCAACCCGGATTTTCATTGGTGCTTACAAGAACAAGATGTTTCTGTAATATTTCTGAGGTCAACTCACTGGAACATTGTCTGGTTGGCTGTTGTCGTACCCCGTGCCTGTTAGATCTCGAACATATTTGATCTTGTAAGGGCCACAGCTTGATGGATACTGAAAATAAAACAGTGTGAATTAAATAATTTGCATGATAATACTTCACTTCACATGCTCCATATTCAAAATAACTTCAATATCCAGCGTTGAGTCAGATGTGACTCTGTAATGAATGTCCACTTGTACAGACCAATATCCCAACAGTGTACATTTTGCTTTGAAAGACTGGTTGTGAAGACATTGCTATAAATATCATGAAAGAGATTATTGGGAAATAATGTAGACCAAATGATCAATATTTTACGGCCTATGCTATTCAGCATTTCCCTGTTATGCAAAAGAACTCCAATAAAAGTACTGTGAAACATAAAGGCTGCAAGCTTATAATACACATCTTGAAGTAAGTATTGCCAGCTGATCACAACACAGGTCAATTAGCCCTGAATTCAAAGTCAGGAAATAAATTTATCTAGGGTAAAGTCTACGCGTTACTCAGGCGAGTAGCTTTGCCTTGATTTTATTTTCATTGGAGACAAGGCCACTGGGCTGTGTGTTTGGCCTTGGCCATTGGGCCGTGTGTTTGGCCACTGGGCCGTGTGTTAGGCCACCGGGCTGTGTGTTAAGCCACTTGGCTGTGTGTTATAAATGTAGGCCACTGGGCCGTGTGTTAAGCCACCTGGCTGTGTGTTAAGCCACTTGGCTGTGTGTTATAAATGCAGGCTACTGGGCCGTGCTGTACACATGTAGGCCACGGATGTGATGTTATGGTGATATACAAAGTTACTTGATTAAGGATCAGCAGAAGTCAAAAGAAAGAATTGTACGCATCCTGAGATTTGTGACAGGCACACAGCCAATGACTCAACAGAGACGAATCTTATGGAGTGGAACGGTCAATATTCTAAGTTAAGTATGCTTTATGTTTAGGCTGGCAATTCTTGTGTGGGTCTAAAATGGTTTGTTTTTCTGTAGTTACTTGCAAATGTTTAAAGTAACGATTGGTTATGTTCCCGAATATTTAGTAAAGCAAGGGATTATATTTCCATTTCAGTTAAGTCAACTTCAGAGTTACTATCGTTATTGATGAAGTTTGCAATTGTATTGATGGCTCTTATGCACCTTGTTTCAGAGGCAGTCCAGCTCAGGGCTGAGTCGTCTCGGTTGTATACAAGACTCAAGGATGCATGATTACGTGGAGATCGGCTTTGTGTTAGTGTGAACTATGGAAGGATATCCGATTGGGCAGTGTAAGGACTCGCGCTTTTATCGCATATTTATATCTGTGATCCGTGTCGATGAGCTCTTGCTATGTAAATTTCAGAAATAAACCAGCTCGCTCTCGAGGCTCGGTAGACAGCACCCTGTATTACGAGTATGTTGTACTTGGTAAATATTTTATGTTTGTTTGAGCGAAGCGAATTAGAACATAAACATCGTTATGGAAGCGTGTCAACACTAATATCATCGGGTACAATGCTGCCAAATTAATCAGCTCATACACTGTAATAATGTGATTCACATACTAATTGAGCTTATGGAGCATCAGGGGATGTTATTGTTTGTTTGTTTATTGTTTAACGGTGTACTCAGCAATACTCCAGCTATATGGTGGCAGTCTGTAAATAATCAAGTTTGGACCAGTTATCCAGTGATCAACAGCATGAGCATCGATCTACGCAATTGGGAAACGATGACACATTTCAACCAAGTCAGCATGCCTGACCACCCGATCTTTAGTCGCCTCTTACGACAAGCATGGGTTACTGAAGACCAATTCTAACCCGGATCTTCACGATCTTTTTCCATATGAAGAATGTAACAACTACCTTTCCTGGACCATCAAAGTTACGGAGATTCTTAAACATTTTGGCGGTAATGGCTGGGTCGTAGCACAGGAAGTAGGAGTTTCGAGACAGGTGATAACCGTATCTGAAATTAAAGTATGAGTGACAGGTTAGATCTTTGGAGTAATCAGACATGTATTTAGCATAGTTCATGTTACCAGAGAGACTGCCAACATACTTTTGACAAGGCACACATCAAATGGGCAGTTTTGTCGCTGGCAGGCGAGTTAAAAATCTGTATTTTGCATAAAATCAGTTCTAAATATGATCTCCTGACAACATACATAACCTACTCATTGAATATCTCTACTAGCTTTTTAGCCAGAGTTGAGTTGTTGTTGTAGAGGTACGTTGCCATCTCGGCTGACACTGCTGCTGCGCTCACACCATCTTTGTCCAGAACCTTGGTTCCACACATGAAACCTGTTCAACAAATATACGTGAACACTGTACAACAAATATATGTGAACACTGTACAACAAATATATGTGAACACTGTAAACAAATATATGTGAACACTGTACAACAAATATATGTGAACACTGTACAACAAATATACGTGAACACTGTACAACAAATATATGTGAACACTGTACAACAAATATACATGAACACTGTACAACAAATATATGTGAACACTGTACAACAAATGTGTGAAACCTGTACAACAAATGTGTGAAACCTGTACAACACACATAAAACCAGTATAACAAAACATAAGCCCTCTACACACACACATGAAAGCCATACAACACACATATGAACTTTGTAAACAAATATATGTGAAACCTGTACAACACACATAAAACCAGTACAACACACACATGAAATCTGTACAACACAAAATGAAATCTGTACAAAACATTCACACAAAACCAATACAACACACATATGAAACCTGTACAACAAAAACACAAGAACTTTAGTTTTACGCCGCTGTTAGCAACATTCCAGCAATATCACGACAGGGAACCCTGAAATGGGCTTCACACATTGTACCCATGTGGAGAATCGAGCCCGTGACTTCGGCGTGACGAGCGAACACTTTAACCACTAGGCTACCCCACCGCCCCAAACCCCAAATGAGGAAGGAGTTGTGGTGAGAGCATAGGGAGATTGGGGAGGGACTGATCATGTTAACAATCACAGGAATTACAATTTACAAGGTCAGAGTAATCTGATCAAACAAAGTAACAAGTTGTTTTCTATGAATGTCAAATGACAGGAACGGATGTTCTCAAGTGTGACTTACCGATGGCCTCTTCGAATGCAAAGATGACATGTTTCCCATCATTCTTTCTTTCACAGGCCTTGTTGGCAATCCACTTGAATCCTGTCAAGGTTTCCTGCAGACACAGTTCAGGTTGTGTCAACGACAATACAGGTCATCAGTCTTCTAGTTACATCAGTTAGGGAGTACACATGTGTATTATTAACACAGGAAATTAACCTACATCACAAAGAGACATCTGAAACCTACATCAGAGGAACTGAGTTAACCTACATCAGTGTGAGAGTTAACCTACATCACAGAGAGTTAACCTACATCAGTGTGAGAGTTAACAAACATACCTGAAAGTGAGCTAACCTACTTCAGTGTTAGTGAGTTAACCTAAATCATAGAAGATGAGTTAACGTTCATCACAGAAAGTTAACCTACATCAGTGTGTAAGAGTTAACCTACATCAGTGAGAGTTAACAAACATAACTGAAAGTGAGCTAACCTACTTCAGTGTTAGTGAGTTAACCTATATCATGGAGGATGAGTTAACGTACATCAGTGAGAGTTAACCTACTAGGGATGTCACGATACATAAGGTTCACAAATCGATACGTATCACGATACCCATGTCACGATTCGATAGTATCACGATAACTATTTACGCGGCATTATTGAGTAAAATTAGTTACATTTTGAACATTGATATTACATATTTTATAACTGTCCATGAAAAGATCAACATTTTTTATTCTCAGAGATTAAAAAGTTCTAATTTCCCATCTTACTGCATGAAAAATAATCATTTATCACTCTCATATCATAAAAAAATGATACAATTGCAAAATGTTAACGATACATAAACATATTTAAACCGATACTTTCAAAACTAAAGATCGATACAGTTTTGAATGTAACGATAATTATATCGTCTTAGAAACAGTATTGATGCATCGATGCATCGATGCATCGATGTATCGTGGCATCTCTATAATCTACATCAGAGTGTGAGAGTTAACAAACATAACTGAGAGTGAGTTAACCTACTTCAGTGTTAGTGAGTTAACCTAAATCATGGAGGATGAGTTAACGTACATGAGGGAGAGTTAACCTACATCAGTGTGTGAGAGTTAACAACATAACTGAGAGTGAGTTAACCTACTTCAGTGTTAGTGAGTTAACCTAAATCATGGAGGATGAGTTAACCTACATCAAAGATACACCCCTCCTTCCTGGCAATGGTCTGCAGGATTTTGGAGGAAACAGTACTGGCCACCATACAGATATCACTGTCTGAAATGATAAACCATAGTTATAGCTAACAGTAAGCTTCATTTGGTGTGGTTGTGTTGTTTAACGCAGCACTCAGCAATATTCCAGCTATAAGGCGGTGTGCATAAAATAAGCCAATAGCATTCCATGTGACCATAAAGCTTTCTTCATTAACCAGAAACATCAATTGTCCATGATACTATGTGGAAAGAACTGAGATTGGGTTGGGGCTGGGTTGTTGTTTAACGCAGCACTCAGCAATATTCAGCTATAGGTGATGGTCTGTAAATAAACAAGTCTGGACCAGACAATCCAGTGATCAGCAGCATGAGCATTGATCTACGCAAATTGGGATACAATGACATGTGTCAACGAAGTCAGCGAGTCTGACCACCCGATCCCGTTAGTCGCCTTACGACAAGCATGGGTTACTACAGATCAATTCTATACTGGATCTTCACTAGTCACAAGAACTGAGGAACTTATGTCAATAACAATCAACCCAGGGACTCTTTATTGTTATGTGACTTCAGAACTCCACGGAGTGAGCAGGTTTTTATATCATGGTGGGTGGACACCAGAAGTGCACTTCACACATGACCATGCAAGGAATCGAACCAAGGTCTTCAGCATGAAGAGCACACACTTTAACCACTTGGCTACACCACCCCAAGAACTCAGACAGGAGTCTCACAAGCCTCAGGTGATCATGGTGATTATGTCATTGCTAAACAAGACCAAATCCATCAGTACACGCCTTACTTTTGACGATTACTTACTGGGGACATCTTGGTTACTTCTTCTGAAGGCAAAGAGACTCCACCACCCCAACAGGGCCCCAATCTCATTCCCAGTGAAGATCCTCCACTTGCCACTGAAACACATCTCTCCCACTTACAATAAATCTGTACACAAAGCAATCCCAGTTTGAAAATGCCCTGATTTTACAAAATCTTACCATATTACAATTATCATCTATTACTACCTATTACAGTTTGATATCATCAATACATTCTAGTTTGTGTTTACTCCACCTATTCACACAGACAAACACACAAGACAGCCGTATTCCACTTATACTAATAAGGACATATATATAGCACTGAACTCCACGTTGCACAGGCATGCTCTAAGTGCTTACAACATAATGTACATTATTATCCCGGATATTACCTTACTACCACGATAAGTGTACAAAATATCATCTTATTTTATTTTGAAGATCTATAAGCTCGCTCCTGACTATATGACATGTAAATAAAATGGCGTCTGCCTCTCGACTGGATTTTTAAAATCAGTGAAACATATTCTGACAAGCTTTAAACTGCTATAAAAATGGCTAATTATGTTTTAATTGAGCCTGCAAATGATTCAATGTATAAAACAAAAATAAAGCAGTGAAAGTCGGTAAAATAAATGTGTAGCTAATCGAATGATATTCGATATTATGACGTCATACGATTGTTAGTGATACAGCTTCTCAGTGGAGACTTTGGCGGTTACCATGGCAGCAGGTAATATTTTTTCCTGTTTCCACCCTCCTGGGAGGGGTGATATGGAAACTTGAACTTAAAGCATCATTGACCAATGACATTAAAATATTTTACATAAAGGTAAGATACAACATAATGTACATTATTATCCCGGATAACCCAAGCTGCCTGTGAGGTACTAGAAGGTTAATAGTCATGTGACTTATCCCACCAGGTACCCTTTTTCTGCTTGGTGAACATAGACAATATTGGACAAACTCACTCGCCTAAAGTGAGACCACATGTCTCATTATATATCACCATGAGAAATGCCTCAATGAGTATGTGAAACTTTATGGATAACAAGTTCTTCTTTATTGTGTAGAGCAACTGTGTAAGAATCTACATAAACACATCATGCTATGCAATAATCAAAATGTTATCTTAAGTTGTATGCTTTGTTATCCATTATCAACTTCAAGAATGCTGATCAAACAGTTAGTAAGTGAAACTGGCTCAAACCACCCCAGTCAGCAGTATTCCAGTTATACCACACCTCAATATCAATGTTATATACCACCTACTTAGGCTGTTTCTCGGCTATTGCCAGCCTGTCTGCGTCAGGGTCATTGGCAAGGATTACCACACTTCCATTGGCATCGGCTGTCTGCATTGATAATGTCTGAAACAGGCACAGACATCAGTGAAAGCATACCATGCAGCCTTAGTAATTCATTTTTTAAAGCATAGTTCATACCATTTTGGAAGCCGTGGTGGCTGAGTGGTTTGATCGCTGACTTTGTGTGCTGGCGATTAGGTGCCAGTCTCTGAGAAGAAGGGTTGGAATCCCGGATGGGATTCATCCTAACAAAAGTACTTGAATCTGTACTTTACCGAGAAAATGTAATCTCTAATATAATATTTGCCACATTTGACCATTTTCTAAATGGTATTGTGTATTCATAGTTCAGAAGCATCATGGAAACTTGAACTAGTATTCTTGTTGTACTTGTACCAGCTGTTAACGCTTGATATGAATAATTATCTTGCCTCACACATAAATGTCGTTTTCTGATTGGCTGAGCACTCTTCTATTATTTTCAATGTACCCTGCTTACAAGCGAGTAACATTTTCTATGTACCCTGCTGGGAATGCCGAACTCATTTGGTACTTTGTAGCAGTAATTCTTTATTTCAAATAACATTGAATCACGTGTGATGTACAGAATTTGTCGATGCTTTGCAAATGCAAATGGATGGAAGGGAGATAACCCTAAATTTGTTTTCTTGTCGTCTGGTACTCTATACTATGATCCGATACCCGTGCTTCAACAGTTCAAAATTACCATTGAGGTGTTCGGTAAGATAAATATGTTGTTCATTGGTCGCTCGGGGCCCATGGGTTCATGTACCCGTCGGCACCAGTGAACAACTTATAATATCAAATTGTATGTCAAGACAAATTGAATGGTGTGCTGCTGGAGCGTATACAGAGGGCTTCCTCATTAAAGATCCATGTACTAACCAAGGCTCCCTTGCCCTCCTCAGGATTGGGGTATTTCACCGTGGGGAACTCCGGATCTGGCTCCACCTATAGGAATACAACCTCACTTGTGAAAAAATGTCTCATCCAACATTGACCATCACGACATGATAAAATTATCTTCATATTGATTACATCACAACAAGATCATCACGTAATCATCAAGTTGTCAACTAGTAGCATACGAAATATGATGAACAAGTAGGAGATAAAACATCATGTGTGGGCCAATTTCTGGGTGTTATTGAGTATTTAAAGCACGGGAATTCATTTGGAACCGACAGCATTAGCCGGAGGTTTCAAATGAAATATTCCCATACTTCAAATACTCAATAACATCCGGAAATTGGCTAACACATGATGTTTATCGACATTGTAAACACAATAGTAAACCAAAAGGCCCACACATGTTTTGTGTCTGCAGTTATTGACAATGAGTTCGGGTACAGCAGTGAAATGTCATCAGCCGGCCGTTTCGGCTGTCTCCCATGGTATCATCTGGAACAGCTCATTTGTGACGTCATTCGGACTTTATGTCACAATATGATTTGAATGATATGATCACAGCTGAACATCTGTGATTGATGATTCTACATATTAATACGCAGCAAATGTCTGGGAATCGAATACCATTCAATCATGTTTTTCAACCAATCAGATTAAAGAACACAGTGACTTTTGGTTTACAATGAAGTAGGAACCAACTCATTCATATCCTGAATTAAATCAAATTAAATACCTGTTCTTTAACTGGTACAGGAGGAGGAAAGCCGAACTTCTTCAGAGACTCACAGGTGAACTTGTATCCCACACCATGCATGGCAGTATAGGTGAAGGTCACTTTGGAGGACGTATTCTGTTCTCTAAACAGAAGATATTCAATGTAAAGATATAATGCTCAGGGTGCCGTTGTAAAAAGCAATCTTAGCACTAAGGTGACTGTAACTCCCATTCCTTAACATAGACTTGTAACATAGATGGTAGTCTTAGCGCCAAGGTTGTTTTATACAACGGCACCTTGTTCAAGATTACTGCACTTATATAGCAGTCAGCAAGCACATGTGTAAACATGATTTAGTTCCGAGTAGTAAATGTTCCGGTTCGGAATAAATGCCGTGAAATAGAGAATGGATGACACGAATATAAATTCCGCACATACGGCAAATATTCCATCGAACAGGAACAAATACCTATTCCAGTCATTATTGAATGCAAAATAGACTCGTCCAACTTGTCAACATCCGGGATTTCTCAAGCCCGAAATACACGTGAATCATGTTAGATCTAGGTGAAAATCAAATCAATGAGCGGCCATTTGCCACACACAGCAAGGAGGTGCAATACATAGGCCCGACTCCGATGTATTTATAAGTATGACCTATATATATAACATATAAGATATGTTATATATATATGTCATACTTATAAATACATCAGAGATGGATCAGACCGATTATGGAGGCAGAGGAAAACACTGCTCTTTGAACTATGTATCGGACGAGATCAAGGATAAGTCTGCTCCATTGAAGCTTGTGATAACCAGTGACCAGAAAATTAGCAACCATTAGAATGTGCCATATTGATCACTGTACGTTTACCCAAACTGTAGATCAAATTAAAATACAACGATATTTGAACAATTCTTCAGTATTGTCCGGATTTCGATCAGGACCCTTATCACCCGACATGTAGATATTATACATACATCTTTGAAATAATAATTTGAAATAGATGCACAGATTTTTAAAGAAAGGTGAACCATATCTAATGGCAGTTTAGGCAATTTAGTACTATTTTGTATAGCCATAACAAAAGATGAAACCAATTCCCACAAAAAAAGACAAATGGTGCCACTGACGACAATACTATATTGAGTCATTTTATAAGGAACTTTCACACATGATAAATGCTGCTTGATAGCCACAAGATTTGTTCCACATGGAACAAATACCGTAGGATTGAATCCTTTCTTCCTCCCCCCCAAAAAAACCCAACAAAACAAAACAAAAAACAAAACAAAACAAACCAACAACAAAAAAACCAAACCAATTTTTAAGACCACCCCAACAAACAAAACCCTCTTTCAGACACTTTAGGATGTGTGTGCAAGTTCCTATTTACCCGGAATAAATTCTGTTTGTGCGTAACGAAATAATTGTTCCGCATGCACTATTACAGGAACAAATACTGGAATGAAAAGTTCCAACAGAACTTCTACTATGGCATTCTCTTCCCACAGAGGTTACTCCTGTCATATCTTCCTACGTAACCTCTGTTCTAATACGGCCCTTTCATGGTGTGAGTGTTCAAGACTCGTGATTGGAGGCAATCAGATTTAGTTGTGCAATCAGCGACGTTGTTTCAAAAGTGATCATTCGCAAGGCCTTGGTAATTTCCGTATGCTTCGAGAAAACTAAACTTCTTCCCCTGCACGATGCGCAAACGTTTCTTCTAGACAGAACTCAGTCATGTTATGGCGGATCAGTGGCGTCTCCATCGCCCTAGTTGACATCGGACAAGCTAGCCTTTAAACGTCTTGTGTGTAACATCAACACAAGTCCCCGGCAGATGGGGGATATTTGTGGCCCCACATTTGCTTGTGTTAGTCAAGTTGAATCTAAGTCGATGTAACACGTGTTCTGATTGGATAGAAAGAAGGGAGATAATTCGTGTTGCGATCCTTTGCCGCTAGGGGATTTTACGAGAACCGGGAAATATGGCCGTATTAGAACAGAGGTTCGTAGGAAGATATGACAAGTAACCTCTGTGGGAAGAGAATGCTACTATGGGGGAACCAAATCTTTTTTACAAATGTACTGTATACCCCTGACGATCTGGGTTAGAATTGGTCTTCAAGAATATGCTTGTCATAAGAGGTGACTAATGTGATAGTTGGCTTAGCTACATAGGATTACCTGAAGTGACACAGATGATGCAGATCTTTGTTATACAGATCATATATCTCGTCATAGGGATCCTTCAATAGCTTGCCATTAGCAAGACAAGACGTATCCCAGGACGTGGGGAAAGGCTCAAGATGTTCAGTGATGGATGTTGCAATACCTTTGTCGATTGGAGAAATGATCTACAAGAAATGTTCAAGAGTGAGTGAGTTGGATTTACGATGCTTCGAACAGTATTTCAGTTCTATTTTATGGCATGTCAATTCATGAAGAAAAGCACAAGTTAGTCTAAAGAAATTTACCATTAGCATGGGTACCGGCATGATACTGACAACAATGGCAAGGTGCTGACTACCTTGAAACATAATCAGTTTGAAATCAAGTGAGTTACCTGTCCACTCCCTGTATAGCCAGTTTATAATGTATTAACTGAGTGAGTTACCTGAGCTCCGTTTTTCCAGTACACTTTGTAGCCATTGTCTTCCTTCGGGTTGTGTGAGGCAGTGATCATGATCCCACAGGAAGCTCCATAGTGCACCACGGCATATGGCTTGATGTATAGGAACACACAGTTAGCAGGTTATCATGGATACTCTTACATCACAGAATGAACATTACTGCCTTACATTTACATGGTGGTGAGGTAAGGTGAAATGGGGTTTAACGTTGTATTTAAGAATATTTTGCTCATATGACGACGTGCATGCGTGTGTATGTGTGGCTGCTTGTACTAGCCCAGACTTAGTTGGTTTTATAGTGCTAGCCCCTTAGATACCATGCCGCAGTGAAGCATGAATACCCCACTCAGACACATTATACTGACTCCGAGCCGACCAGTCCTTGTTGTACCCATTAATGCCGAGCGCCAGGCAGGGACCAACAAGCACCATATTTAACGTCTTTTGGTAATCAATTTTGGGGAATCAAACCCGCGACCTTCTGCTCTCTGGACGGACACTCTAACCACTACACCACGGAGGCGGTCCTCTTACATGTAATCATGAACATGATAAAACTGTGAGTTCAAATTGATTCAAATATGTTTTAGCATAAATGTTCAAATTAATTCTGTTTTATATGTTTTTAGCACAAGTGTCAGAATTACAGACATTTCTGTTCTAATGAGCAATAAAAACAAAGACTGTAAATAATTGAGTCTGGACCAGACAATCCAGTGATCAACATCATTAGCATTGATCCTGTTAGTCACTTCTTATGACAAGCATGGGTTGCTGAAGACCAGTTCTAACCTGGATCTTCACGGGTCCTGAACTAACTATGCATGTAGAAAGAACAGCTAAACATTCAGGGGTGTGATGCAAAGGGAGGTAACTGCACTACTTTAGGGACACAATCACAGGATACTCACCACATATGGGGTAGGGCAGATCTTGGAGTACTTGTAAACTGGTACACCTTCATTGATACATATGGTTGCTACCAGCTCACTCCATCTAGAATAACAGAGTGAATTGAGTTTTACATCCACTTACAATAGTTTTCTCGATGATCACATGATGATTGTTCCTGCAATGAGATGAGTTACTGTTGTTTCACTGCTTTTACATTGTTAGTATATCTCTGAAGGAAGACTGAGTGAGTGAGTTTAGTTTTATGCCACACTCAGCAATATTCCAGTTATATGGCGGCGGTCTGTAAATAATCGAGTCTGGACCAGACAATCCAGTGATCAACAGTATGAGCATCGATCTGCGAAATTGGGAACCGATGACATGTGTCAAACAAGTCAGCGAGCCTGACCAACCGATCCTGTTAGTCGCCTCTTACGACAAGCATAGTCGCCTTTTGTGGCAAGCATGGGTTGCTGAAGACCTATTCTACCCCGGATCTTCTCGGGTCCTCTGCAGGAAGATGTGATCAATCTTCCACAGAATGTTGTGTCAGGTCAACTATCAATTTAGACAATCCTTGATATGAGCATGCAAACCATTTGGAACTGATGATTCAATTTCAGACTCCTAGAGTTCGATTTCCAGATGGGATTCAAGCACCCCAAAAGTACAAGAATCTGAGCTTAACTGAGAGAAAACAATCCCAAACATAACATGTTACATTGACCACTTTCTCAGTGAAATTGTGTGTTCATAGCTTTTGGTCATGGGAACAGTGACAATTTACATTTATACAAGGGTACGTTATCAAGGTACCATTGTCAGACTTCCATTTTTGTTAAAGCCATGGTGTCTGAGAGGCAGAATAGGTACCTGGGATTGTGCCCATGTGAGGTATTGAACCTAAATCTAGGTCAGACGAATGAATGCTTTGACCACTAGGCTACCCCTCCGCCCCTATTACTAAACTTCTAATTTGGCAATCAAACAATCAAACCAAAGGAATCAGTGATATATTTAGAGTTACTGATACTGACCTCTGGCTGTTGTGTCTGGCGTCGTATCCCACAACCAGCCCGTTTTTCTTAGCATCCGGATCTGTCGCTACAAGGTACTTCACCAGGCCCTGATTAAGATGATTCCAAAATTATGACATGATTTGCTGTGAATAACAACTTTAAATCCACTAACATGTCTTCACACAAAAAACTTGTTGCAGACAAGCAGCAAATTACCTGAGGGATGTTTTTTTGCAAATAACAGTGACGGTGGCCATTTTGAAATTTCAAAAACTCATATTTTAATGTAGCCAGGGACATAACTAATTAACGAACCATTAATCAACAAACATGTCACTAGTGCACTGGAAGCAGACAGAGGTTGAAATCCTACATGGCATAAGCTAGTATTGATGCCAGCAACCAGTCCACTTGAGAAGGAAGAGACATTAAAACAATACTACTGTAGACAATTCCATTTGTTTCTTTGTGAAATATTTGTGTGACAAGACCTACCTGTGTTGCTTGGATGATTGTCAGGTCATTCATCATAGAGTAGCCAGCTCCCATCCGGGCACGAAGACCTGAGATATAGAACTTTAATAGAAGGAACAATTGATTGACTAATATTTAACACACATAAATTGTTGTTCAAATTAAATGTCGTTATTCATTTCAGCTCTCCCTATGTTCATGTATGCTCTGCCAATATTCACGTCCTCTCTCTGCCCATGTTCAGGTCTGTTCTACCCATGTTCAGTTCTGTTCTACCCACGTTCAGGTCTGATCTACCCATGTTCACATCTGCTCTACCCATGTTCACGTCTGTTCTACCCATGTTCATGTCTGCTCTACCCATGTTCATGTCTGCTCTACCCATGTTCATGTCTGTTCTACCCATGTTCATGTCTGTTCTACCCATGTTCATGTCTGCTCTACCCATGTTCATGTCTGCTCTACCCATGTTCATGTCTGTTCTACCCATGTTCATGTCTGCTCTACCCATGTTCATGTCTGTTCTACCCATGTTCATGTCTGCTCTACCCATGTTCATCTGCTCTACCCATGTTCATGTCTGCTCTACCCATGTTCATGTCGATCTACCCATGTTTATGTCTGTTGTTCATGCCCCATGTTCATGTCTGCTCTACCCATGTTCATGTCTGTTCTACCCATGTTCATGTCTACCCATGTTCATCTACCCATGTTCATGTCTACCCATGTTCATGTCTGTTCTACCCATGTTCATGTCTGATCTACCCATGTTCATGTCTCCCATGTTCATGTCTGCTCTACCCATGTTCATGTCTGTTCTACCCATGTTCATGTCTGTTCTACCCATGTTCATGTCTGTTCTACCCATGTTCATGTCTGCTCTACCCATGTTCACGTCTGCTCTACCCATGTTCACGTTTGATCTACCCATGTTCATGTCTGTTCTACTCATGTTCACGTTTGATCTACCCATGTTCATGTCTGTTCTACCCATGTTCATGTCTGTTCTGCCCATGTTCAGGTTTGATCTACCCATGTTCATGTCTGTTCTGCCCATGTTCAGGTTTGATCTACCCATGTTCATGTCTGTTCTGCCCATGTTCACGGTTGATCTACCCATGTTCATGTCTGCTCTGCCCATGTTCATGTCTGTTCTACCCATGTTCATGTTTGATCTACCCATGTTCATGTCTGTTCTACCCATGTTCATGTCTGCTCTACCCATATTCATGTCTGATCTACCCGTTTTTACGTCTGCTCTACCCATGTTCACATCTGCTCTACCCATGTTCATGTTTGATCTACCCATGTTCATGTCTGCTCTACCCATGTTCATGTCTGTTCTACCTATGTTCACATCTGCTCTGCCCATGTTCACGTCTAAACCACCCATGTTCACGTTTGATCTACCCATATTCATGTCTGTTCTACCCATGTTCATGTCTGTTCTACCTATGTTCACATCTGTTCTACCCATGTTCATGTCTGCTCTACCCATGTTCATGTCTGTTCTACCCATGTTCATGTCTGTTCTACCCATGTTCATGTCTGTTCTACCCATGTTCACATCTGCTCTACCCATGTTCAAGTCTGCTCTACCCATGTTCATGTCTGCTCTACCCATGTTCACGTCTGCTCTACCCATGTTCATGTCTGTTCTACCCATGTTCACGTCTGCTCTACCCATGTTCAGGTCTGTTCTACCCATGTTCATGTCTGTTCTACCCATGTTCACATTTGATCTACCCATGTTCACATTTGATCTACCCATGTTCAGGTCTGCTCTACCCATGTTCAGGTCTGTTCTACCCATGTTCAGGTCTGTTTGACCCATGTTCACGTCTGCTCTACCCATGTTCATGTCTGTTCTACCCATGTTCATGTTTGATCTACCCATGTTCACGTCTGAGCGACCAGCGTTCATTGCCTGCTCTATTTCATGTCTGCTCTACCCATGTTCATGTCTGTTCTACCCATGTTCATGTCTGCTCTACCCATGTTCAGGTCTGTTCTACCCATGTTCATGTCTGTTCTACCCATGTTCATGTCTGTTCTACCCATGTTCATGTCTGACCCATGTTCATGTCTGAACGACTCATGTTCACGTCTGCTCTACCCATGTTCATGTCTGTTCTACCCATGTTCATGTCTGTTCTACCCATGTTCATGTCTGTTCTACCCATGTTCATGTCTGATCTACCCATGTTCATGTCTGATCTACCCATGTTCATGTCTGTTCTACCCATGTTCATGTCTGTTCTACCCATCTTCACATCTGCTCTGCCCATGTTCAAGTCTGCTCTGCCCATGTTCACGTCTGAATGACCCATGTTCACGTCTGCTCTACCCATGTTCTTGGCTGTTCTGCCCATGTTCAGGTCGGTTCTACCAAGTTCATGTCTGTTCTACCCATGTTCACATCTGCTCTGCCCATGTTCACGTCTGAACGACCCATGTTCACGTCTGCTCTACCCATGTTCATGGCTGCTCTGCCCATGTTCATGTCTGATCTGCCCATGTTCACATCTTCTCTACGCATGTTCAGATCTGTTCTACCCATGTTCACGTCTTCCCTTCCCATGTTCACGTCTGCTCTGCCCATGTTCACGTCTGCTATGACCATGTTGATATCACATCTGCCTTTTACATGACAACTGATCTTCTTCAGTCAATGGTATTTGCCTCCCACATGTAGTCAGTAACAGTTTCAAATGTACACATTGTCACAGATCTGCACTTTGACAATTTTACAAACCTGCTGTGCCAAACTCCATTCTCTGAAGCAGGCGTTTCCTTAACTCATCAACATTCTTCGCCAAAGCCAGTTTTCGGATCTCTTCACGATTAACCTCATTCTACAAAGAAAATAGTTCATGATGTTCTGCACTAATTTAAGCACCTGTTCAGTTGCTTTTTTATGTAACATTCAGATATTAGATGAGGATGTTCTTCAAACTTTAATGAGTGAGTGAATTTAGTTTTACCCTACTTTTAGCAATATTCCAGCAGGGGACTAAAACTGTAATGGTAAGAAGAAAAATATGTTGGCAGTCAAACAAAAATTTCTTCAAATACAGCTTACCTTTATTAATGAAATGTTAACATATCAGAGTCTCAATGCCAAAGATAAGATTCTTTTGAGCCTTGCCCGCTATTGGCAAAAGGTTTGAGCTGGACTCATCACTGAACATGGTGTAACATGGTGTAACATGGTGTTATATGGTATATGGCGACAGTCTGTAAATAACTGAGTCTGGACCAGACAATCCAGTGATCAACAGCATGAGCATCGATCTGCGCAATTGGGAACCGATGACATGTGTCAACCAAGTCAGCGAGCCTGACCACCCGATCCCTTTAGTCACCTCTTACGTCAAGCATGGGTTACTGAAGATCAATATTCTAACCCGGACCTTCACGGGTTCATTTTGTAAGAATGTCCACATCCTGATAATTCTTATAACTGCCCTGGGGCAGTGGTGTGCCCATCATATGAAAGACCTGGGTTCAATTCCCTATATAGGTACAATGTGTAAAGGCCTATTTCAGGGCTTTGATATTGCTCAAATATTGCTGAAATAAGCACAAAACCATACCCACTCACTCGCTATTACAGTATTGAATTGTTCTCACATGTGAGCGCAGTATTGCAGCTATTTTCATCATTGTGCCATTTGAATGAGACTGAAACCTTAAGCTATATGGTAGCAAATGCTACAAGGCTTTCATCACACTAGATTTAGAAGATAAAGCTACTCTGTTTTCAATTTTGTGGTCCTTTATCGAGCTCTTAAATTAAACATTTAGCGGTCTTAAATCAACGATAAAGGACCGCAAAATTGAAAACAGAGTAGCTTTATCTTCATTCTAGCACGACTGATAAGCGTTTTAAAATTGAACTGTTTGGCGTGAAAGAACACAAGGCTTTAAGGGGCCTTTTTCCTGGAAATCGCTTGGAATCGTCCCGTTGAGGGACAGGTTGACGTTGTGTAATGAACAAAATAAGACATTTCAACAACATAAAAGCTTTATTTCAGGAACCAGTATGCTTGTACTTGTAACAAGTAGCATACATAAGTAAAAAAAATACAGTTTATACTGTGAGCAAGTACAATTATTTGATTTTTTTTCTAGCGAATTATTGATCTCCCCTACTGTATGACAATCGACTTGCCCCAATTGAAGCCGTGAACTCGCTAAGTTTAGTCGCCGCTAACTTTCTTCGCGAAAATAATTGTTGATAACCACCCTACTATTCCCAATTTGGAAAAGACCTGACATGCCACGTTTTATGTGGGATATATGGACAGTGGAAGTTGAAGGGCATTACGGCCGGGACGGAAGCGGTCAGGTTAGGACATATGGGCTGACGGGTGTTGTCGACGTCATACCTGCTAGATCTAGACCTGGTTTGAATACTGCCGCATTTGCGCTGCTGACGAATTTTCCAGATTCGTAGTTTCTTCACTGGGATTAGGGTCAAGAAATTCTTCTTCAACTATTCACTTTTTATTTCAAAAACATCAAAGATGCTGCCGAGGTAGAAATTGCCAATGTCCGACATGTTTGTTTACAAACAAAAGGGTCAACGAGTTCATTGTATTCATACGCGGTGAATCGGTCACTTTAATTAGTGGTCTCAGCCAATCAGAATTGAGTATCACACAATGTCGTGCTAGAATGGAGATCATATCCTACATAATCGAGGATGTCATTATGTAGGCCATCTTGCAGTTTCAGGACACATTTTGCACAACGCCAGCGTAACAAAACCTTAATGGATATTATTTAGCCATTGTGCCTTGTTAGACAAGGGATATTCACAAAAACTATCAAGAAAGGGTTTTACGTATCTTGTTCCCGACCTCTGACTTGCTTACTGCACTGATAACCTAGTCCCTGTTCCACAAAGCGATCGTAGCGTTACGACTGTCGTAAGTCTATATTAAAGTATGGGAGTTATGATCATCCTAGTGCTACAATTGCTTTGTGAAATGGGACCCTGGTCACAAAACAACCCTAGTTCCTGACACAGTTCTAAATAACAAACACTTACAACAACAATCAAATACTCATGAGTAATAGATTTGGAGTTGTGGTCTGCAGCATTAGTGTGTTTTGCTAAAAGTCCAAAACCCAGGTCCAGCAAAATGTCCTTTCTGTCTGTTTATTTAGTGAGCCGATAAAACCCCAAATATTGACATTTAAATCGATTAAACGTAAGTGTAGGATATGATGCAAAAGTTATTTATATTTCCACATGACTTTGAGGTCTTATCCAACTCAAATTTACTCAAAACAAATGCACTTACACAGATACTGGACAGAGGTTTTTGTTTGCTTATGATTGAAATGGGGCACTGAGATCATGTGCTTTCCAAATTACATTTTCAAACAGAATGTGTTCATTATAGCTTCTCTGCTCTGAAAAGATACTTTTCTGCGATAAAACTACTAATGTTCAAAATCAATTACATAAACATGACTATCTGTTGCAGGGCACTCAAACTATTGGACTTCAGATATTCAGATTATTGAATACCTTCATCATAAACGTGCGTAACCAATCTGCAATTAAAATTCATTTCACTTTGTTTTAAGACTTTGTAATAAGATAGAGACAAAACTAAAGATGCAGGTTGTAGATGAGTCACTCAAACAACTGACATGATGCTGATAAACAAGGTCTCTGTAATAATATAATATCATCTTAAAGTATAGCACTATATTCCCAGCTGCCTCTATCACTAGGACACGTGTAGGGATACACTATCATCTGCTACATGTAGTCCCACTTGGCAGTATGGCTGACGTAGACGCCTCTGTACGTCCTGCAGTAATAAATACATGATTGAACCAAACACAACTTTATTACAGTCTCAGGAACAGTCTTGCATCTGAAGCAATGATAAAAAATCAGCAGATCCTGGCATGGCAAAGGGGAGCAAGTCACAGTGAACATTATGAAATCATGTACCCCTGTCTCAACACTACTTCTGTAGCTATACAAGGCTAGCTATTATTACACATGCTTAAACTTGACAACCTTTACTGTGAAAAAGAATGTTTCTTCATGTCCGTACATGAGTTTCCAACATCGTCAGATGAGAATTTCCTTTTTCGCTGATCACTAAATTTATCAGTCAGACAACTGTCACCATCTTTTTCTTCATTATCATTTCCAGTGACCACATCTCCATCACAGAAAACAAGATAGCTTGTATCTTCTTCCCCTGCTGGCTCCTGCTTGATTGGCATTATCTCCCCTTCATGAACCTCACAGGTGGGGTCACTGTACTTGGTCTTACTATCACTTGCTATCTTCCTATTCATTACCAGCTTAACTATTTCAGAAGGTTTACCCACAAACTGACTATTCACTGGGACTGAATGTCCAAACTCTGAAATATAATTTTCATGAAGCCTGTACAAGCCAAATCCACTTTTCCCTCTCTGAAGCTCTGTCCTGATAAACAAGTGAAGGAAATACAAAGCTTGGATCAGGACATCCATGGTTGCCTCATGACAAAGTTCAAGGTCATATAACACCTGTTCCAAGGGAGAGCACTGGTTTTCCTCAAGGACATCCTTGTGAATGACCTTGTTTCTAATCTGCATCCAGTTGTTGCAATGGCTGATTATGTCATTCTTTAGCTGACTATCAAAGAAATTCAGCCAAGATCTACTGCAGTTGTGCTTATGACTCTGAAGAAGTGATTCAAATTCTGACTTGGAGCTGACTCTCATCAGATCCTCTAGATCGGCCACGTAACGGTCAGTTCGTTTAGAATGCATGTTCTTTGTCAGCCAGCATTGAGCTTCCCGTCTGATGAAAGAAAGAGACAGAAGGGTGATGACATTTGGCAGGCACTTCTTAACTGCGGCCATAATGTTTGGATCTTTGTCAAGAATAATTGCAAGAGATGGCTCACTGGTTTCCACCCTCAATGCTGGAAGATGTTCCACAAAGAGATTGAAGAGATTTGTATGACACAGCGAAGACTTATTCTGGTGGATCATGAACACAAGAGGGATAACAGGTGGACTGCTTGCTTCTGTGAGAATAAACTTTGGATGATGAAGTGATAAGACTGATATGAAAAATCCATCTAGACATGGTGATGTGCTATAGGACAAACACTGTATGGTGTCATCCTGTGTCGACAAGAGGTCATTGAGGTCGGAACACAGGTCACAGCTCCCAAATATCATAATAACTTCCGGAGCTGAGCTGAATGACCAAAAATAGTTGTCATTCCTCATTTCAAAACATATTCTCATAATCTCTGTGAATGTCTTCTGACTAAATTTGAAACTGCTGTCGTCATCTTTTCCCATCCATGTGTCCAATTCATCATCATTTGAGTCAACGACACTGGAACCATTGTTACTTGGAATGAGGCTTACTGGTACTGTTGATTTCTTAACCAATCCAGATGTGGATGGGAGAGGCATCTCGGGCTATCTGAGACATGACATTTCCCTCATCTCTAGCTGTGAAAGCAGAAAGGGTGAGATTCATCTGGTCACCAATTAAAGAATTACCACTGTCCACAGATTCCAAATACTCCAAACCAGATGTCGTAGGTCGACTTGACAGCTTATTTCTCTCAACAGAAGAAAACAAGGGAGAGGAAGATGTAGCACCAAAGTACTGAACGACCATGTATTTCAGTTCCTTGTTGAGCGGGATATACACACAGCGGCGGAAGTCAACACTATCTGCATCTGCGCAGTCAATGGTGAAATACACTTTCTCAAACAACGGTGAAGGCTTGGGGTATTTCTTTTTGCCATTGTTTCTCCATCGATAGCCATCATAGACCCATGTTTCTGTAAATGCAAGATGAAACGTATGAGTATCATTTGTATGTTGATGAACTGCATGAGCTCTAAGTTTGGATTACATTTTCTGTGCAGAATTATCAGATTACAAAACCTTACTGGAACAATACCATTCCTAGACAAATTGTCATAACTAATACATTTTCTCATAACATGGATACAAAGTATTAGCTCTCAGTATGTCTCCATCACCAAACACATAATCAAGACAATGTTGTAATTGTTTGCGCTATAATTTTGGGATAGTATAAAGAGGTTTTTACCCTCCAGGAGTGAGTGAGTGAGTTTAGTTTTACACTGCACTCAGCAATATTCCAGCTATATGGCGGCAGTCTGTAAATAATCGAGTCTGGACCAGACAATCCAGTGATCAACAGCATGAGCATCGATCTGCACAATTGGGAACCGATGACATGTGTCAACCAAGTCAGCGAGCCTGACCATCTGGTCCTGTTAATCACTCTTATGACAAGCATGGGTTACTGAAGATCAATATTCTAACCCGGACCTTCACTGGTTTACCCTCCAGGAATATACCTAAATATAATGTCTTAGGGTTGAAGAAAATAATAAAATATTGTATGCATTGTATAAGGGCAGTGTGGTAGTGGTTAAATGGTCGCCCGAAGACCTGGGTTTGATTCCCCACATGGGTAAAACAAGTGAAGCTCATTTCTGGTGTCCCTCAATGTGATATTGCTGGAATATTGCTGAAAGAGGCGTAAAAACAATACTCACTCACTCATTTCAATATGCACCCATCTCTACAGAGCTTCATTTCTCGGGGAAAAGGAAAGCATTACACACAAGGAAATATTAATTAATGGAACAGGCGATCTGGCTCACATACTACATGGATTGATGCTTATGTCAATCACAAGTATATTACAGAATGGTGTCATATAGTTGGAATATTTCTGTGTGCTGTATTAAAACACAAACAAACTTTTGTACCAACAGTGATAACTTACTTTTATCCATGTATGTTTGTTCATGGTGGTAGACATATACCTGTCCTGCTTTAGGGCGGTAAGGGGGTTTTGTGCTCACTCTCTGAAGATCAGGATTTGCTGAAATAAAATTGATTTTTCTTTGTAACCTTTGAAAATTAGTATGTTTCACTGTAAATAATATTACCGTCATCAATAACTATAATCAAGCCTATGGCTGATTGACAGAAATTGCATCATATTTTGGACTAAAATTATCTAATATTAGCATGATCAGTATACAGTCAGATACAGCATAGTCTATATCTCATCATGAACTTTGCTTAAATTCTGTCATGCACTATGACTCTCTTGGCACGGAAGAATTCTACCAGAATCTACTTTTTAATATCTTTTGAAACAACAGTGTTCAAAACAAGAATGAAAGTCATTATAAATTATTTATTTATTAGTATTTAGATCACCGCACAATAGCAGGAAACATGTTCAACAGTCCTTGGACTACCCTTCATTATATTGTAATACTGAATAAGCAAGTCAATTACAGAAAATGAATTTTACATTGACCAGTGCAATATGAACATTTAACGGCCTTTTGATTCAAACATACATACCAACTATTTCCAGCAGATCTTCTGGTGACTTGAATGGCTGTTCTTTGAAGCTGTAGATAACAGTTCTCCTTTCTTCATTGCTTTCATTACTTCCATTGGAAATGTCCATTGTTCCTATCAGCTATCTATATTCCAACACCTTTCATTTACTGATTTGCAAAAATCTCAATGTTGAGTTTCAATCTCTAAGAACTACTTGACAAGCTTCTAAATGCCACTCAAACAAGTTACTTGACAAGCATCATCATATTCTCTGCACAGTCTCTGGTCTCAGAATAGTTCCATCTTCACCTTAAGAAATGGTGGAAACAACCAATTGTTTCTATTTCAAATAAATATATCAAATCTATTCAGTTTGTGGCAGCAAATCAAAATACATATATACTAGAAACATAACTGATCCTGAAAGAATAGTTGATACAGAAATGTTTGGGGTTTCTGCTGAAAATGTCTGTTTCCGTTGCCTCGTCTACTTCCGGCAGAGTCATTTCCAAGTCTTTCCAGGTCACCAAAGGTCAGATCTGGATATTATTATGCGAAAGGCGGAACTGTATGACAAGCACCACAACGATAGCGCGCGTATTCTGTTGAATGCAGACATCTCCGCCCTCAAACGAATGGGAGGTTCAGTCTCACTGTAAATAATAAACGTGTCAAAACATCAGGCATTCCGCGAAAGATCATGAGTACCTATCCGAGCCTATCGGTCTTACCTTATCCCAACGCATCCATTCCTCCACCTTTGCGTCAATGTCTGCATTTCCAGTGTCCGATTTGAAATCCTCCATCTTGAACTGTTTCTACCAACTGCCACGCAGACAACAGCGTACAACTGATTCAACTGAAGAGTAAACTTTCATCAGAAACTGAACCGGACCAGAGAGAACACATGAAGGTCGCCTACGAATGTCAAGGTCAAGGCCGATTCGACGCATTTCCAGCTTTACAACTTTAATCCATAAATTGTTGGGTTTTTTTAAATTGCACTCATTTTTTTATATGATTATGGCCAGGTACACTTTGGTCATAATAGTTATTATATATATATATACACACACACACACAGTATTTTAGTTTACGACACAAGATTGACACACGACAGTAGGTACCTGTTTACGGTAGCGACTGGCGACGCGTTGTTAACTTTTGAGAATGTTGCCCAAGTTTGACCTTGTTTACAGGTTATCGCTCGACAAACAGGAAAGGAAACGCTTTTGCCAAAGCAGGCAAGGTGAATTGGCAGAAGTTGCCATTTCCCAGCAAATGACTCAAATGTGTCAATGTGCGACGATAGCATTAATCTAAAGAGCGCACGGCGATGTGATCTGTCAAATTTTCAAAATGAGAGACTGGTGATTTGTACAAAGACATTCATTCACAATTCACACTCTTCAGATAAGAGACTATTGTACCATGTGGAAACTTCCGCCCGTATCCCCTCTTAAGTTAAATTTCATTCTAGTCAAATCATATCACCTGAATATATATTCCTCATCTGATAAGTATGAGTTTTAACATGTTTCTTTAATTGTATCTGAACATACTGAAAGACATATTCAGTTCTGAAAATGTCACTCAAAGAAATCTTTCCTCGTCGTTAAACTTTAGGGGAGATATGGGTGGAAGTTTGACCCACGAATAGGAAAACTTTCTCACATTTTAGGTTATTTTCTCACTGAAAGTTAAACATAGTATGACATATCCTTATCTAAATCCAAAATGAAAGATAAATAAACTATAAATTGACTTATAAGTTTTTGACCATTTGACAGATACTTGGCTGGCCATGAGGTAGCCGAGAGCCGCGATGCGGTCCTATACAGTCTTGACTGTATAGGACCGGCGGCTCGCGGCTAGCCATGAGGAACTCTGGGCAAGAGACAGAAGAATATGTGTATTTTATCTAGGCTTTGTTAAACACTAGCTTCTAGTCTAATCAAACTGGCAATTAGTATTTTGTTACTCATCTGAAAAATAACTATGACTTTTCAGTCTTCAGCTAATAAAAAACAAGACTGAGCAGAACATAAATTGTTGGATATACTGTGCTGAGCTTAATTATATTTTATCAAGCTTGAACTAAAGGTGACTTTGCTCTCATTTTCATGCATGATTTAAACACATGTTGTTGCTATACTGTCCCTTTAAAACCACTTTACCAAAAGGAAGAGTCTTTCTTTCATTTTCTAGTCATTAATAAAATGTACAAGCATTTCACTCAGCAATGTTCCAGCTATAGTGCGGCAGTCAGTAAATAATTAAGTCTAGACTAGACAATTAAGTGATATATCTATGCAAATAAAATACAAACATAAAATGTCAACCAAGTCAGTGAGCCTGACCACCCAATCCTGTAAGTCACATCTTATGACAAGCATGGGTTTTCTGAAAACCAATTCTAACACATGTGAAAACTACTGAGACATTATTTAGACAAACCTAATCATTTGTGTTGACATGATTTTTAGATGTCAGATACACACAGGCAGTAACTACAATATTCAGGTTAATCAGCAAGTCTGGTGCCTAATTGGCTGCTTAGCCACCAGAATTTCCACACAAAATGGAAGTACCATGTACTTTGTGTACAGCTCTTACAAGTGTAAATTGGCATGGATCCCATTACCAAAAGCTATGAATACAATGCCATGTAGTAAGTGATCAATTGTATCATATGGCATTACACTATCTCATTTCCATTTGTTGTGGAAGCAAATTCAAGTTTTGCAGCATAGTTCATTCCCTTTTTAAAGCTGCGGTGGGTCAGACCGCTAACTTTGTGTGATGACGATTTGGTTCCAGACTCTGAGAGTTCGAATCCTGGATGGTACTTAACCTAGAATCTGAACTTTCCTGAGAAAGTGTAATCCCAGATATAACATGTTACATTTGACCACTTTCTAAATGTCATTGTGTATTTACTGGGGTTATTGTGTGAGTGAGTTGATGCAGCTGGCAGCTTAATACTACATTTCTGAGGGTGATGTGAAAATGACTCTCTTTGAGAGATAAATATACTATGTTTTGAACATTGAGACTGTAACACTTCAGAATTGATGAAGTAATGCATTCCAAAGTAAATATATGTAGATATTGATTCTACAGAGAGACAACCTCATGACACAAAGGTTGTTAACAATACAACACGTGATTGTGATTCACCAAAGTATATGCTGAGTATGGTTTTACGCCGCTTTTAGCAATATTCCAGCAATATCACGGCGGGGGACACCAGAAATGGGCTTCACACATTGTGCCGATGTGGGGAATTGAAGCCGGGTCTTCGGCTTTAAACACCAGCCCCCCCGGAAGTCAGCATGAATGCTGAAGGAAATGAATGGGCATGTCCTCTTGTTTCCTGCTGTTTATTTGGTTAATTGTCTAAAACAACTTCCTTGGTCCAGTAGAGGATCTGCCCACAGAGTAGAAGGATGTGATCCTCATCTTCACCATACCTAAGGATGTTAAAAATGGTACTTGTCCTTACCCTGCCTGGTGCTTGGCATTACTGGGATAAATGTAGTCTGTCTCACAGTCCCTGAACCACATTATTTTCCCTACTGCCATGCCCTCTCTGCAATGCTAATGCACTAAATAGAGCAAGTCTAGATAAATGATGGTTTGGTAAGCTCAGACTTAATATACCACTACAGCAGCAAGATGATCAGCCAGTTGACTTAAGTTTCATCGTGATTTTGAAAGAGGCAAAGACATGACAGAACTATCATGGATTTTAATAAAATCTTTATTTTGCGTAGCAACAAATAAAAAATAACCAATTCAAAGTGTCGCTAATCATTCAGACACTGTAACCTTGTGTTTCTGTTAAATAATGTGCTCATAATATGTATTATTATTAAAGTTATGGCCACAGTTACTGGATTATGAGACAAATTGTGACGAACTATAAAATTCATATACGTTAAAAGATGAAAAACATTAAAATGATTTACTTTTCAACATAATTCCCCTCCACATATTTGTATCAAGGATGTTAAAGGGATTGTATTCTAGTTACATGAAGTGAATGTATTGGTGCTGATCAGCTGCCCAGATCAAGTGGTATCCATACCTGAAACAGAAACTCAAGGTAAATTTTGGATCATAATTACATTGTATGACAAACACACATGAACCCTGTACAACAAGCTCCCACAAACATGACAAACAAAATCTACATTAGTAAATTGAACAACATAACTGACGGAATGAGTAAGCCTACATTACTGAGTGAGTGAGTTAACCTACATGAGAGTGAGTTAACCTACATCACTGAGGGAGGAAGTTAACCTACATCACTGAGGGAGGGAGTTAACATACATCACCAAGGAAGGAGTTATCCTACATGAGAGTGAGTTAACCTACATGAGAGTGAGTTACCCTACATGAAAGAGTGAGTTACTCTACATCACTGAGGGAGGGAATTAAGCTACATCACAAAAGAGAGTGAGTTACCCTACATCACTGAGGGAGTGAGTTAACCTACATCACAAAGAGTGAGTTAACCTACATCACAAAGAGTGAGTTAACCTACATCACAAAGAGTGAGTTAACCAAGATGAGAAAATGAGTTAACCTACATCACAAAGAGAGAGTTAACCTACATCACAGAGTGAGTTAACCTACATGAGAGAATGAGTTAACTGACATCACTGAGGGAGGAAGTTAACCTACATCACTGAGAGTGAGTTAACCTACATCACAAAGAGAGTGACTTAACCTACATGAGAGAGTGAGTTACCCTACCATGTGATCGTCCAGCTACAATATATGTGTGCGTGTGTGTGATGATGATTGTTACGGAGAAGCATGTACAATGTGAATGAAACAACCTAAAGCTTGTGTACAAAGTAAGTGCCACCCCACCCACCCCCTTCCATGTCATGGACAAAATCAATTAACCACCCCACACCCCAATAATTTTAAATTTTCCTATGTACAAAACTGCTGACACCCCCTAGTACATGTTTACAAAATTGACCACACTACCTCCCCAGAACAAAATGGGTGACAACCCCCCACCCCTCCCCTTTAATTCATCATCACCCCAACTAACTAGCCATAAATTATGAACGGTCCCTTACATGCGAGTGTAGGGGATGGATCTTTCATTACTGCAGCATTACTGAATATGAGAGAGCTTCATCACAACCTCAAGATGTTGATCACTGGATTGTCTGGTTAAGACTTGATTATTTACATGCTGCGGCTATATAGCTGGAATATTGCTGAGTGCGGCTTAAAAACTACAAACAAACCAAGCATCACAACCATATTTATAGCATTACACAATAAAGTTGATGATCTGTTAAAAAGAAATAGTTTTGGTTTTCAGTAATCAGTCCAGTTCAATGTATTTCATCATTTTCAACAAAAAGAATTCTGTTCATATTCCATGTCTTGAACACACAAGTTTGGAAGTGAAATGCTGCAATAGTTACATATAAAGTAATCCACTATAGTGCGCAGTTACCTCCCCTTAAATGCACACCGCTTCACTGTCTCTATGGTGATTGTAAGATGACAACTTTGTAGCAGATCATCTCTGGATACCAGTGAAAGTATATGTAAACTTCTAACCATGATCATAGAAATTATTCTTGGTATGAGGGTTGATTAAAGGCCTCAAATAGAAAATAAATACATAACAGTGAAATTTCTTGTGGACTTAATTATTAACATGTCATAGAGATGTATCTAGAAAAAAACTTAAGTGGTATAAGCAAATTGTTTCACAACATTAAGTCAGTATAAGGAGGGCTCTGTGGCATTTAAAAAAGGTCTAACTTAATTTATTATCCATATGGTGAAACAGTGTCATATATATCATCTGTTCACATATCACTTTTGCCTACCAACCATTGTTTCTGTCTTTCATCGTCTGTGACGTCATTAAACAACTGAATGTGACGTCAATGAACAGGGCAGTCACACTTATTTACCGTGTTTTAATGCACAAATGTACATGAATAAAATGGATAATAAAGAAATTACTATTACTTGCAAGTGTGCCACACAACTTATACGAAACTCGTACAAAATTGTGTATTGCCTGAGCAATTTGTATCAGTCATATGACACACTTGCTCGTGTAATAATCTCTATGACTGTCCAACGTCAGTATCTATCAATCAACCATCATATATCTCATTAAAAAAGAATACATTTACTATACGTTCATTGGCTGGTTTTACTGATTTTTTTCTCGTTCTCGTCCTACAGCTAGAATATTGCAGATTTTGGTGTAAAAAAACAACAACATAACTAATCAACACATACCAGATGAAAGAAAGAACATTCACCATTGTGAAGACATTCTTTATTCATAAAAAGAAGTCATGTAAGTTTTCATTCTGTAAACAGTTTGTCATAAAGAAACTTCATAGGAATATTTAAAGGAAAGGTGGAATATTCATAAATCATGTAACACATAAATCTTGATAACTGCACAGTCTTTGGTATACAAATAGTACATTCTCCATTAGGACATCCTCTATTATCCAATGTATTATATGGCCAATCTACTACGACAAATACCCTCAACCCAATCACAATAATAGCTTCGTCTTAGAGTGAGTGAGTGAGTTTAGTTTTACGCCGCACTCAGCAATATTACAGCTATATGGCAGCAGTCTGTAAATAATCGAGTCTGGACCAGACAATCCAGTGATCAACAGCATGAGCATCGATCTGCGCAATTGGGAACCAATGACATGTGTCAACCAAGTCAGCGAGCCTGACCACCCGATCCTGTTAGTCGCCTCTTACGACAAGCATAGTCGCCTTTTGTGGCAAGCATGGGTTGCTGAAGACCTATTCTACCCCGGATCTTCACAGGTCCTTCGTCTTAGAAGTGACATTACTATTTCTCTTCTATTGGTCCAGATTTTTTCTGGTAAATGAGTGCATGTTGATTTGAAGGTTATTTATATCACTGGACTCAGACTCAAAACAATATCTATGGTAGTGAACAGGTCCAGGGTGGTCGAATGGAGATATTATACCCTTGATTATCAGGGGTGTCTTCATGCAGTCAATGCTTTATCTTCAGGATACAAAGAGCCATAAATTATGAACAGTCCCTATTTCAGAATTTCTTATTTTCACTTTTACTTGTACTTGTCATGTAAACTTTTGTACACATCTTGCTCATGGGAGTGAGTCAGTAAATATGGTTTTATGTTGCCCTTAGCAATATTCCTGCAACAGGGGACACCAGAAATGGGATTAAAATATTGTATCTATGTGAAGAATCATCAGTGTCATGACTGAACACGTCAACCACATTGTTACCACATCCCCTGACAAGTCAGAACACATCCTTACACATAAATATACTTAGGTCAAATACATTAACACCTAAAGAAATGTTACCCTCTTACCTTTATGAATTACTTAAAAACTATCAAAAATATGTTAGAAGGTATTAGTTTACACAAGAAATCTTAACAACACAGCTTTATCATTTATGCAAATTACGAACAAAAAATTCTCAAATGCATTCATATTTAGGGACCCTTCATAATTTTTGGCTAGGGGGATGATGATTTTTATGGAGAAGCATGTACAATGTGAATGACCCCCCAATAAAATGTATGTACAAAATAAGTGACCCCCCTGCATGTCATGTACAAAATCAATGACCCCCCTCCCCTTCCCATAATTTCTAAGCATAACATACTTTAATGTACACAATTGATACCTCCCCAGTACGTGTGTACAAAATTGATGCCCCCCAGAACAAAATGGGTGACCACCTTCCCTCTTAAAATCACCTTTAAGACAAAGATAAACCATTTAAAATCACCATTTTTCAACTATTAAAACAAGAAACAACTGTTGTAGATTGTGTAAAATTGTAAAAGAATCATTCCTATGATTTCAATCTTTTAAAACATTTTCTGCTGATTTGCATTAGTGAAAACAAGTAAAACGTGTCTTTGATATTGTGATAAAGTGTTTAGGAACACCTAAAATTATCTTTGTTAACTTTTTTTTTTTGCAAAGTAACATTCTTCCATTTTCTGTTGACACATTAAGCAATATCAATCACCAAAACTTAGCAATATTCAAGCAGTATTTGCAGCAATTTTAGGTGTAGAATGATTCCATAGGGTAAAGAGAGACTAGAATGCATGATACGATACACAAGTACGAGAAATATGCCACGATTAACAGCTGAAGAGAGAGAAAGAGCCATTGGGATGGTACAGATGGGATCGTCAATGCTGGTGCCAACGCCCTCCAATGCCACCGTATCACAGTTATAAGACTTATTCAGCAATACAGACAGACTGACCAAGAAGTACCTCCGGCATTAAGGGGGAAGGGTTACATTTCTTTTGGCGTTTAGTGTAGTATGTTTCTTCATGTCAGTACATGAGTTTGCAACATTGTCAGATGAGAATTTCCTTTTTCGTTGACCACTAAATCTATCAGTCAGACAACTGTCACCATTTGTTTCTTCATTTTCATTTTCAGTAACCATATTTCCGTCACAGAAAACAAGATAGCTTGTATCTTCTTCCCCTGCTGGCTCCTGCTTGATTGGCATTAACTCCCCTTCATGAACCTCACAGGTGGGGTCACTGTACTTGGTCTTACTATCACTTGATATCTTCCTATTCATTACCAGCTTAACTATTTCAGAAGGTTTACCCACAAACTGACTATTCACTGGGACTGAATGTCCAAACTCTGAAATATAATTTTCATGAAGCCTGTACAAGCCAAATCCACTTTTCCCTCTCTGAAGCTCTGTCCTGATAAACAAGTGAAGGAAATACAAAGCTTGGATCAGGACATCCATGGTTGCCTCATGACAAAGTTCAAGGTCATATAACACCTGTTCCAAGGGAGAGCACTGGTTTTCCTCAAGGACATCCTTGTGAATGACCTTGTCTCTAATCTGCACCCAGTTGTTGCAATGGCTGATTATGTCATTCTTTAGCTGACTATCAAAGAAATTCAGCCAAGATCTACTGCAGTTGTGCTTATGACTCTGAAGAAGTGATTCAAATTCTGACTTGGAGCTGACTCTCATCAGATCCTCTAGATCAGTCACGTAACGGTCAGTTCGTTTAGAATGCATGTTCTTTGTCAGCCAGCATTGAGCTTCCCGTCTGATGAAAGAAAGAGACAGAAGGGTGATGACATTTGGCAGGCACTTCTTAACTGCGGCCATAATGTTTGGATCTTTGCCAAGAATAATTGCAAGAGATGGCTCACTGGCTTCCATCCTCAATGCTGGAAGATGTTCCACGACGAGATTGAAAAGATTTGTATGACACAGGGGTGACTTATTCTGGTGGATCATGAACACAAGAGGGATAACAGGTGGACTGCTTGCTTCTGTGAGAATAAACTTTGGATGATGAAGTGATAAGACTGATATGAAAAATCCATCTAGACATGGTGATGTGCTATAAGACAGACACTGTATGGTGTCATCCTGTGTCGACAAGAGGTCATTGAGGTCGGAACACAGGTCACAGCTCCCAAATATCAGAATGACTTCCGGAGCTGAGCTGAATGACCAAAAATAATTGTCATTCCTCATTTTAAAACATATTTTCATAATCTCTGTGAATGTCTGATGACTAAATTTGAAACTGCCGTCGCCATCTTTTCCCATCCATGTGTCCAATTCACCATCATCTGAATCATCTACATTGGAACCGTTGTTACTTGGAATGAGGCCTACTGGTACTGTTGATTTCTTAACCAATCCAGATGTGGATGGGAGAGACATCTCGGCTATCTCAGACATCACATTTCCCTCATCTCTGGCACTAAGAGCAGAAAATTTCATCTGGTCACTAATTAGGGAGTTGTCCGCAGATTCGAAATAATCTGACCTAGATGTACGGTGTCTTGTTGATATATCAATACTTTGAACAAAAGCAACCAGTTCAGGAGAAGATGCAGTTCCAAAGTAATGCACAACCATGTGTTTCAGTTCCTTGTTGAGCGGGATATAGACGGAGCGACGGAACCCAACAGTATCTGCGTCAACGCTGTCAACAGTGAAATAGGTTTTCTCGAACATGGGTGAAGGCTGAGGATACTTATGCTTGCCTTTGTTTCTCCACCGATACCCATCATAGAACCAGACTTCTGTAAAGGCAAGATAATACTGATTAGTACATTGATGAAATTCATGACCTTAATTTTGATTTAAATTTTCTGTGCACCATTATCAGTTTAGGTCAGAAACGTTCCTAGACAGGGGCAGTGGGGTAGCCTAGTGGTTAAAGCGTTCGCTCATCATGCTGAAGACCCAGGTTTGATTCCCCACATTGGTGCAATGTGTGAAGCCCATTTCTGGTGTCCCCCATTGTGACATTGCTGAAATATTGTTAATAACGGTGTGAAACCATACTCACTCTCTCATTCCAAGACAAACTGTCTTAACTGATACATTTCCAGATAAGATCATGGATACAGAGTATTTAGTCTTCATATTGCATGATAATTTACAATCACTAAAAAAATTAAGATGCTGTTGGAATAATCTGGGGTGTGGATTGGGAAAAATGACCCCAATAAACCAGTCATCTATTTATTTGCGGTGGTCACCAAAACATTTGACAGTCTCTAGGAGCGCATTAAAAAAATACACCTATTTGGAGATGGGCATAAAAAATCAATTTTGAATCATAAAATATATAGTGCTTTTGAATTTTGTCAATTAAAGCACCACACCAACCCACCATCCCTTCTACTCCCCTTCCCGTAACAGTGAAATACCAAAACCCTGAGGAGGACAAGGTAGCACTGCTCAATTGTATGAAAAGTGGTAACTTACTTCTATCTATGTATCTCTGCTCATTACAATCATGGTGGTAGACATATACCTCTCCTGCTTTAGGTCGATAAGGGGCTTTGGTGCTCACATTCTGAATATCTGGACTTGCTGAAATAGACATTATCTTGTTTATAATTTTATTTCATAATTAGTGACATTTTTACCTGTGATTAACATAAATCAATATCTGGAATCAAGTTATAAGCTATTGGTGAGTAATTGTACCTTAGCTTCAGTGCATATATAAAACTAGCATGATCAGTACCAAATACAACATAGGCCATTTCTCATGTTACCATGGATACAACGAAGAAGTTACACAGAATTTACCTATTAATATCTTATGAAGTATAAAAGTTCAAAATTATAAATGAAAGCCAAGAACTCCTTTTACAAACCTGATTGCCATTGTTTTAAAAAATAAACTAGAACAAAGAGAAGATCTTATAACAATTAGGAAAAATATTATATTGATATACATACCAATTATTTCCAGTAGATCTTCAGGTGACTTGAAGGGTTTATCTCTGTGACTATATATAACAGTTCTGGTCTCTGCAATGTTCTCGTTATTTACAAAGGGAGTTTCCATTGTCTGTCGTTTATCTTACTTTTCCATATGAATTTTTTTAAATGGACTCATGAATAATATTTTCAGAACAATGATCACTTAACTATTCATTGTTTTTCTAATAAATCATTCTGATTATACCATGTAGGCAATCCTGGAAAGATATGCTCACTCACCAATTTTAAGTATCTTACAATTCAAACAGTTTGTGAAATCTTAATCTACAAAAGTTTGTATTCACACATATATAGTTTGAATCTGCGAAGCCAAAATATGTTCTGGAAACATAGCTATCAGTCCTAGAAAAATCTCTGCTACCCTACAGAAATCTGCGCATTTTCTGCTGAAAATATCAATTTCCGTTGTTTCGTCTACTTCCGGCAGTGTCATTTCCGACTCTTTCCAGGTCACCAAAGGTCAAATCTGGATACATTATGCGAAAGACGGAAAATGATAGACAGTATCGCCAAAACAACAAATCGATTCTGTTGAAAGGACACATCTCCGCAAACGTGAACTAGAGAAAAGCATTGAGCCCTGTCAACAACGAATGTCGCAAAACGTCAGATTTTCCGGATTGCAGAACTTTGACTTATCTCATCCATAAGATCATTCATCCATTCCTCAACATTTGCGTCAATGTCAACGTTTCCAGTTTTCAGATATTCCATCTTGAACTGCCTAGCCGATTTAATGTATATATCGTAGGGTCAACAGTCACAAAAAACTAGCCCAAACCAGGAAACATAAAAAATAAATAAAGGCCGCCTACGACTTTCAAGGTCAAGGCCAATTCCACGCATTTACAGACTTGCACTTTTATTCTATAGAATTGTTCCATATAAGAATTTAACTGTTTACATTTGTGTTATTGATCATGTATTTCCACTTTGGAAAAACACGTTTTGTAATATATTTGGGATATAGTAATGTTAGTTCGAAAGGCGTGTAGTTTACGACACCAGATTTACACACGACAGCATATACCAGTTTACGGTAGCGACTGTCGAGTCAACACACCTGACAGGTACTCGCTCGTCGGACACACAGAAGTTTGGGTACGCTTTTGGCAGAGCAAGATTATATCAAATAGATAACCTTCACATACCTCAAAATGGAAATCGGCGAGGTGAGGGTGGCGGAAGATGCCGATTTCAGAAAACTTAAAACGATGTGTGACGATCATTCTGACTGGAAACTAGAAATCAATAAACAGAGCACGACGGTGTGGACGAAAACAAACGATGTTTCAAATTTCAAAATGGTTAAGGTGAGTCAATTTTTGGTCAGACTTTTTATCCTGCCAATCCTTTGATTCGGAATGAATGAGTGTGCTTGTAGAACAGATAAAAATAACCCTTATGACACAGGCTAGTCATCATTATTACTGTTGTTTATACATATCAGGGTAGGTACTTGATAAGTGTAGATTAATTATCTTGGTCCATTGCTGTGATAATATATCATCAGTCCTACATATAATGGCTAAATACATATCAGTCTTACATTTTGGATTATAGCATTCCCTCAAACGTTAATTGTATAAGGGTTTTGTCTATGTGTCACTTCTGAGGCGTATGGATCATCCATTAAGAAACCTCTACCAACTTGCCACACATCCTGCATCCGCAATAGATTGACAAATCATAAAATACTAAATGTGTACATATCAATGTCATCCTTAATGATTTGTTAGTAACTAACTTCCAGGTATGTTTATCAGGGATTTACCTTGAGTCCCTGGGACTATACTCTTAATTTTCAGGGTCCTGGACGGCGAAATGGGGGTCCCAGACACTTAAATATATAGGACTCCATGTAAATACCTGTTTAAGTATTCAAGATTTATTAGTAGGGACTCCATTGAGAACAAAACATTGGTTTGTATGAATATAGTGGCACCTTTTTCTAACGGGATGATCTGTAGACCCCAGTGGTAACATATATAGAAACCTGATACAAGACACTGAACAGATCGGGGGATACAGAAACCACAACTAACCGGTTATGTACTTCCTAAGTTGCTGCAGAATGATGTGGGTGAATGTATAGTCTAAACATGGAAAATGTGTCACTTTGGTGGACATGATGAAGGGGTCTACGCCATATTATACATCAGTTACAGAAATCTACCCCAGGTAGATATCTGTGCACATATGACTGATAGGTACAACAGATTGTTCACCAGAAATGTACCCTCCCCCTTGCCGCCAATACCTTGAGTAAATTCATTCCATTTGATAACAAACCAGTTTACCACTGTACATTTCTGTGGTTTGTTGATAAAATGGGTGAAGATGTATGGCATGTGTAAGCAGGAGGAACAAGTTGGTCATTCTCTGAATTTCAGTATATATATCAGTCCTAAGTTTGTATAAGACCCACTGTAGTTTCTGTAAACTCATAAAAAACCATGATAACATACATTACTTACGTCACCCTCCTCAGAAAAGATACTGTCGCTGACAATCGAGGCTTGCAGCCAGAACCAGCTTCAGAATTGGGGTTGGGTTCACCAATTGTAAGCTCTTGTGTTGTAGGTTTGACTTGTGTATAAAACATGTACCTGTCCATGGGTAGATTTATTTACTACCTAATACTAAAAGGTAGCCATCAGTATTAGAAGATATTTCACACCAACGAGACTGGTTAACACCACCATACCTACATTCTACACCTGGCAGACACATGTCTGTTCCAATCTACTTTTGAACCTGATTTACAAAGCAATGTTGTCATCACTCATGTCCATTAACCAAGCAGTCATGAAGACTGTAATTGATGTATTTTATCATTTTTAAAATTTGTGGGTGTTTAGAGCATTATGAACATCATTTGATATGATAAACACAAAGTTCATTGGACATTTCGGTGTGCCCTCCATGATATTGCTGGAATATTGCTAAAAGCAGCATTTAGCTATAGTCATTCACTGTAAAGTGTATAATAGACCTAGACCTATAATGTTGCCTTGAAGATTTTTGTGTAGGACCAAAAAATGATAGCAGTTTAAACCTTGTAGTATTATGAACGCGTTTGTTTGTTTGATTGAACATGTTACATTTTATGTTATCATCTTTCTACCATGGTAACAAGTAAGTTTCATCTTGAAAATTAATGTGTTTCCAATTTCATCATTTTCCAGGGTGTGAGTCGTGGAGAAATTTACAACATCATGTATCACTTATGACTGTCTATAAGCCTAATTTTTGAACAAACAACAGAAGAAGGGGGTCGACTTTGTCCATGGGTAGAGGGTAAGAAAACGATCAAAACAAACAACAGAAGAAGACTTTGCAATTAAAAACATCACTAGACAAGATTATTTACCTTTTAAGTTATAAGTTGTTTTGCTGGGCATTGTATTATTTGCAGGGATTAAGATTACCGTCGCGTTTTGTCTCCGCATTAACAAAGCCGAAATAGCAATCAGCTGTGCACACGTTTCCGGCAACAAGTTCAAACATGCACAATAATATAACGGGACGAATTCTGACGAGTCATCAGTAAAATATAATACAGAATACCATTATTTAACCCAAAAGAAATGTATCCTAGCATTGTGTAATTTTAGTTACAGTTTTTGCTCTATAAATTAATTAAGATTACCGTGCGCGTGTATTTGTCTCGTACACAAAGCCGGAAATAGCAATCAGCTGTGCACGCGTTTCCCGGCGAACAAGTTCAAACATGCACAATAATATAACGGAATGAATTCTATTGATTGAATACTATTATTTAACCCAAAGAAATATATCCAAGCATTGTGTAATAGTTTTTATGTAAAATATATATAATCAACACTAAGGTTATACAGACCCTCATGAACGTGGTAAGCACATGGAATGGGGTAAAATACGGAAGCCATTTAAATTCACACATTTTTACCGATGTTACTGTAAACTAGCAGTCAATGGAAAACGAGGCGGTAATCAGTTCGTGATTGTTGAATGGGGTAAAATAAGCAAGCCAGTTTGTTGCTACAATAAATATGATATTTAGAGAAGCTATATTATGCATTTTCTGTCAACTACACTTCGTTTCGATCCGTGAGTAGACACAATATATATGACAGTGAATTCTTTGAATAATGTGGACCAAAGTTATAATTATTGGTAACTGCCAGTTGTCTGTGGTGTTTGTTTGCCGCGATTAGGACCCCATCGCGGGGGATCGACTTATGCACAAAACATACCATTTTGACACTGATTTTAAGGGTCAAGTTTGGGGGTCGTCTTATCCATGGGGTCGTCTTATAGACGGTCATATACGGTACATCCAATCCTTTGTGATGATGAGTAAAATCCTTTATGTTTGGTTCCTGTTGTAAAGCTGTCAGTCAATTTAAGAGGTGTAACAACACAATATATCCACAGGTGTTTACGACTAGCAAGGTGCATCCTAATTGAAACAATGACTACCCCAAATAGAGTGAGTGAGTTTAGTTTTACGCCGCACTCAGCAATATTCCAGCTATTTTGCGGCGGTCTGTAAATAATCGAGTCTGGACCAGACAATCGAGTGATCAACAGCATGAGCATTGATCTGCGCAATTGGGAACCGATGACATGTGTCAACCAAGTCAGCGAGCCTGACCACCCTATCCCGTTAGTCGCCTTTTACGACAAGCATGGGTTACTGAAGATCAATATTCTATCCCGGACCTTCACGGGTCAGCCCAAATAGAACGAACATATACATGTATGAGGACATAGCTGGAATATAGGTTGTTTGGGGTGATCTAGGGTATAAGGAATTTATAGGTGGTATTGGGTGATCAGGGTATATGGAGTATAAGGTTGTTTTGGGTGATCTAGGACATGTGGAATATATAGGTTGTTTTGGGTGATCTGGGGTATATAGAGTGTAAGGTTGTATTGGGTGATCCAGGGTATATGGAATATATATTTTGTATTGGGTGATCTAGAGTATATGGAATATATTAGAGCTGTGTATCGTGGCTTAAGTGGCGAGACGATATATCCCCATACCAGTTTAATGAGGCGAGACAATATATCATGAAAGTATTGGCAAGGAACCTGCGAGACGATTATCATCATGATGCAATTGTGCCGATACGATACGTATCCCGATACTTTACAATTTCTAAAAAAGAACAGATATGGTAGATAAAATGACTGAAACTTTATTTGTTATACAGCAGAACTTGTTTTACATTCACACACACTTAAAAAGCTGTTCATCTCATAAGGTTTCAGCATTTAATGCTTAGAAAGTACAGTCAAACATATCCAGTATACCTTGATCTAATATATATACATTTGAAAGTGAAGTTTCCCTTGGGAAGTTGTGCTTCTGCACCAGTGCTTTCACAAACAATTCAATGTAATTTATATCAGAATTTAGAATCACTGAAAAAAACTGTTAAGTCTGCTCTCTAAACTTTATCTTCACTTTGTTCTTAACAAAGATAAGACATGGTTCATAGCTGTTAATAAATGGTGTTATTTGTCAAACAACTAAAACATATCTGCTTATTTCAATTACTTGGAGACAAGTATTTGACAGGTCACAGAGTTTGTAAAATGTTCACACTCTTACACCAACTCCTTTGCTCATGTAACAAAGATAACAGACACAAATAAATTCCTTTAAAATTCAATTTGTTTTTTACATTTCAGAAGAATTTCAAAGAGACTCCTTTCCTATTCCTAGTGCAATACTCCTTACAACTTTATGTAGTATTTAAGTTGTATCGGGATATATCGTCTCTTGTGGCGATACATTGATGTATCATGGACCCTCGCGATATAAATATCCTGATATATTGCCTAAATGTGTTTTGTATCGATGCACTCGTATCGCGTAGTTGACGATGTAAACATCGATACTATCGATGAATCGTTACACCACTAGAATATAAAGGTTGTATTGGGTGATAGAAGGTATATGGAATATATAGGTTGTATTGGGCGATCTAGGTATTTGGAATATATAGGTATATATTGGGTTATCTAGAATATAAGGAATATATAGGTCGTATTGAGTGGTCTAGGGTATATGGATTATGTAATCTAAAGTTGTATTAGATGATCTAGGGTATGTGTAATATATAGGTTGTATTTGTTAATCTAGAATGTATGGAATATATAGGTTGTATTGGGTGATCTGGGGTATATGGAATATATAGGTAATATTGGGTGATCAAGGGTATAGGTAATATTGGGTAATCTAGAATATAAGGAATATACGGGTTGTATTGAGTAATCTAGAATATACAGAATATATAGGTCCTTTCATTGCTTTTACTGTTTAACCAATGGATTTGCAGGATTCTTAATAGAGCTATAACAATGTTCAAAATAAAATTGAAATGTAAAGAAATGCTGCCATCACCAAAAAATTAACAGTAACCCATCTGAAACCTTAACATTAAGTTGCTTCGAATCAGTGGCTCCAGAATGCTGTACATACTAGCAAAACAGTGTTTCTAATATTTATCATCACATTGATACTTTTATATACTTTGTATTAATATATTGCCAACCAATAAGGGACCATAGTTCCATGTACATTCCATTGAAATGTGGATGGTATTAATGGTTATAATGCAGACAGTAGGGAGGTTGTTTCATCGTACTGTTGTGTGGCATTTTCTGTTTGTAGTGAGTACATGCTGCACAGTTTGGTTGATCTTTGCTGGCAGTAGGGCTGAGGATGTTGATCATTATATCAGCATAATCAATCTTTTACAACTGAGTTAAGTCTGCCCCTCACCAGGATTGCTAGTAAATACTGATTTGATATGAACACATGTTGAAACAGCTGTCCATGGTATACATTTGACATGCAATTATCATGATGAGTGCTGTATGTATCAACCAGCAAAAGAATTATTGATTTTTTGGGTTCTATTCATATGATGAAAAGGATAAAGAATATATTATTAATCATCAAGAATTGAATATTGGACAAAGTTCAAGGCCTTTTGCAATATTTCCTAACAGATATGTTTGTGTTGTAACAATGTTTGGTCCAATGAAATGAATAATCTGAGCGTAATGGATTTATCATTAGCACCTCAACTGTATGAAAAATGAGTTATGGAACTTTTTTATATATATAAGTTTTTACAAGTATGAAAATCATGTTTTTGTCACCTACACAAACACATGAAAATCAGATTAGATGTAAGAAATTACTATGCACAATTACATATTAATCTGAAATGAAAAACACTCTGCAAAAGTAAGATCGATCTGAGATTTTTTTGCCATTTACTGATGCTAATCTTGATATATTTTAAAAAAATATTTGAACAAATTCCCAAACATGTTTTGGTGAGTGTTTGGTTGCGTGTGTTTGTTTTGTTTTTCTGGGTCCGATTGTACTATTTCCGACTAATGCTTGTTTTATAGTGCTAGCCAACTGAGATACCATGATGGTGTTTAACATGGATGTCCCACTCACGCACTGTATACTTGACCCGTGAAGATTCGGGTTAGAATTGATCTTTAGCAACCCATGGTTGTCGTAAGAGGTGACTAACGGGATCGGGTGGTCAGGCTTGCTGACTTGGTTGACACATTGTTATCGTATCCCAATTGCGTAGATCAGTGCTTATGTTGTTGATCACTGGATTGTCTGGTCCAGACTTGATTATTTACAGACTGCCACAATATGGCTGGAATATTGCTGAGTGTGGCGTTAAACAACCAACCAACCACCACTTTATGCTGACTCAGAGCTGACCAGTCCTTGCTTTATTATCTTAATACCTAGTACCAGGTAGGATAACGATAAGTACCATATTTGAATGTCTTTTGTGTGACAGGGTAATGGGAACAAACCAATTTCCACTATCCAACCAGACATTCAAAGCACTCACAGATGGCAGCCATATTGGAAAATCTAATTATTGTCATTCAGTCATTTGTGTTCAAAACTGAATAAATTTTCATACATGTTTAGTAAGCAGTGGGCCGAGGTTTAATTTGTAATAATTTATATTTTTACCTTAATGTGCTCTTCCATCATGCTGAAACCTGGAACTTCTAAATGCTATAAACGTGGTTACACTTTGAATAATGTAATGGTAATTGTTACTTAACATGGTTAGTATTGAGCACATATTTTAGTATGGTAGTATTTTTACCTGGAACTTCTAGAGGATGTTACACAGCCATTCTTTTGGAAAATGTAATGAAAATTGTTGATTAACATATTAGTATAGAGCCTGTGCATATATTTCAGTATGGAAGTCTTTCAAAATATTTTGTTTTCACTGTCCTCATCACCTCCCCATTAACCTCTGGGTTGATGGTACTCAGAAACTGATTTTTCCTTAGTATTCTGTAGAAAATATTTAATATTGAACAAACTTTATGGATAACAACTTCTTTTATTTTATGAGTGCAATGTTTTGAATATTTGATACAGATATCAACCCTGCTTGTCAATGGAACAAGAATCTGTATTGAAACATCGCACACAAGAAATTAAGGAAATTGTTATCAATAAAGTTTGTTCAATATTGTACGTACCAAGTTCTAAAATGCCACTGAAAGAAGAAGAAAATATTCAACTCTCTTCCCAATTAGCAACACTAGTTAAGTCTCTGTCTTTGTTCACTTTTTAAATGGTTGACTACAATATATAGGTACTTATATAGGTGAGCTACATTACCCGAGACACTATTTTTTCAGACACAAAACCAAAAAAAATGTCTATCATTATCTAAAAAATCCAAGTATTGTATGAGTGAGTGAGTGAGTTGAGTTTAACGCCGCTTTTAGCAATATTCCAGCAATATCACGGCGGGGGACACCATAAATGGGCTTCACACATTGTGCCCATGTGGGGATTCGAACCCGGGTCGTCAGCGTGACGAGCCGACGCTTTAACCACTAGGCTACCCCACCGCCCCAAGTATTGTATGAATATGTTTATCATGTGTATAGCATTTCTTCATGTTTGTAGGTTCGCACAATATTTGACGACATTGATGCTGCCACATTGTATGATGTCCTTCACGACCCACTGTACAGGAAGACTTGGGATCAAACAATGCTGGAAGGCTACGAGATCTGTGTCATTAACCCTTTCAATGACATTGGCTACTATGCAAGTAAGATGGTTACAGTGTTTGTTTTCCTCTGACTTAATATATGTGTCACATGTGTCACTTTTCTGATAATTCAGTAAGAAGTGTCTTAAATTTACCAAAAGAACCCAAAATATTTCGAAAGCAAATTACTTGTGAGGATTCGGGTTAGAATCGGTCTTCAACAACCCATGCTAGTCAGAAGAGGTGACTAACAGAATCGGATGGTCAGGCTAGCTGACTTGGTTGACACATGTCATTGTGTCCCAATTGCATAGAGATGACCATGCTGTTGATCACTGGATAGTTTGGTCCAGATTCATATATTTAAAGGCTGCTGTCATACTGCTAGAATATTCCTGAGAGCAGCGTTAAACAACAAACTAACAGAAAGATAAATTATTTTCACATGGGTTTAAAAGACATCAGAGTTTGACATAAAGAAAATATGTAGTACTTGTTACTTCTAATTTCTCCCTGAAAAGATTGGACCTGTTGTCAAGGGTTTTTTCTCTGGATTACTCTCCCAATTGGTTCTGATCTACACAAACTGGACCCATTTCAAACAACAAACCAACTCGCAAGCTCAGTAACCCAGTTACATCCAAATCCTTGTTCAGGGATTGCTCATGATGAGACTTAACATGTTAAAACAGCACAAGATAAATTAGATAGATATATAAGTCTATATTGAACGCTTAAGATGAAAGAGTATATAACCTGTAGTTATCTGTTTTCAAAGCATGTGTTAGACTGTGCGATGTTCCACTTACCTTGACTGTTGATAGTAACAGATGTTCCGAGGATCGAATAACACCCTGTGACACTAGCTTCATACATCAGTACAGTGTCTTCCAGTCACAGATGTTGTGTTACAAGGGTTGAAACACATGTTGTGAACCTCACAGAGAAGGAATTGCATAATAGAGTAGTATTATATGTTTTTCTCATACGTTATTGGTTTATCTCCCTTTTCTTCCGAGGTGCAGTGGAAACCTCTGTCCTATTGTTCCCTATTGAACAGTAAAAAACAGCACACCCCAAATGGGCCTCTCCCTGCCTCTGCATCAGCAACCCACGTGACTTCTAGCTGCTTGTCACCCTCTCCATTTTCGTGGCCAAAAATGTATTTTTGACATGAGCATATTAGTGGAGAAGTGGGGACAGTTGAAAGGGCCCGTACACTATGAGTAGGGATAAGTTTAAAATATCGATTTTATCCAAAAAACATTATGGACCTTACATGATGTCATGGCGAAGCCACACAAACTTGAGTCAGTTGTTTCACTATGACAAGTCAGTAAAATAAGCAGGGCTCCATTGTGTTTTTTGAAAGGACAAACTTGAGGAACATTTAATTATAAGTTTCTTGAAGGTAAAGGGTTAATACAAAAGGCCCCTTCTATACGACCGCTAAGGGGCAGGCTACAGAGTTTAAGCATGGCAGGGAGAGTAGTAAAGGTGACACCCTCCTTTTAAGTTTCACGCCACTTTTAGCAATATTCCAGAAATATCACTGCGGGGGACACCGAAAATGAGCTTCACACATTGTACCCATGTTGGGGATCGAATCCAGGTCTTCGGTGTGACGAGCGAACGCTTTAACCAAAAGGCTACCCCACTGCCCCTCCTCCCTTAAGTCCAGTGATATCCAGATAACCTACAATATGGTGCTGAGCGACTGGCAAATGACTGAGGGTGATATTGCTCGTTCAGTAGACATTTTCGTTTTCACAGAAACATTGGCAATGAAGAAAGTATCTGCTTGTTTAGTTCCAAAGCTTCTCACATCTGATGATTGTGGACTCTCAGAAATGTATGATTACCTGTTCCTATGTTCGTCAGAATTTTTGGTTTCAAAAGTAGAAACAATACTCAAAGATCAATATTTACAACAATGGTAATGTGAACTAGCGTCTACTTCGAAAGGAAAATTTTACCAAAATGTTAAAGACAATCTATGCTTTGAAAACTACCTCTTCCTTCCCAAATCTATATATAATCCAATTCTTAGAGTTAAGTTATCAAATCACAATTTACCGATAGAAACAGGATGCTGGTACAACATTCTTAGAGAAAATAGACTGTAAACTTTGCGATTCTCCGTCTGTTGGGGACGAATTCCATTACCTTTTTAAATGCGAAGCTTTTCTCCAACAGCGGATAATGTATATTCCAAATTATTACTACGAATGGCCTAATCTGTTCAAACTTAAACGGCTATTTTCAATAAAGAAAACAAAGCATTTGAAAAACCTAGCTAAATTTTTTAATGCCTTGTCAAATGCCCTGAAATTGTAAACGAATTGTGATAATAATACTCTATCTAAGTATTCTATTATCCGCCATCTTGATTGTATATTTATGTTAAATTGTATATCATTATATTCTCATGTACCACCGTGGTGTGGGTTTTTAGAGAATAAAATGTTCTGTTCTGTTCTGTTCTGATAATAAACACAATAGGCATACCGTATTTCCTCTAATAAGCGGGGCGGTGGGGTAGTCTAGTGGTTAAAGCGTTGGCTCGTCATGCCGAAGACCCGGGTTCGAATCCCCACATGGGTACAATGAGTGAAGCCCATTTCTGATGTCCCCCGCCGTGATATTGCTGGAATAAAGCGGCGTAAAACCAAACTCAGTCAGTCAGTCAGTCCTCTAATAAGCACCCAGGCACTTAATTTTTCAACAGACCTCCTGACCCAGCGCTTATTAGAGGCCCGGCGCTTTTTAGAGACCTGTCGCTTATTGCGCTTACTAGGTGTACCGTAATTAATTGTTAGTGAGCTTTACGTCAAAGTTAGGGACCATTCCTTAATTGATCTAGTGTTGGATCAAGGGAGAAAGCATTTAAGAAAAATGTACTCACCACACCACACTTATTGGATGCCTAGCACATATTTTTTAAACCACTGTTTTACCCCAGCGCTTATTTGATGTCCGGCACTTATTAGTGACCCCACGCTTATTAGAGGAAATACGGAAGGTCTTTTGATAATCTCTAGTGTGAAGCTGATCCAGAAAGATTCTTGCAGTGATTTGTGAAACTTGGCTTAGCCACTTCTAGACTCCATCCAAATAATAATCCAACAATTGCATGCATTTGACATCATCTCCACCAAAGACCATAAAGACCATCCCATCAGCTGAAATAGTTATCTCCCCTTTGTTTTGGGATGCTGATACTGAGGGAGTCATTACGGCAGACTCTCTTCCAAACAGGCAGACTTATTTACAGAAATAAGACTTTAGGGATGAGGTGAAGCTGAGAAAGGTGTGATCTTCCATCAGGACAATGTATCGGGACATCAAATCAGTCATCACCATGGCTACAGTTCATGAGTGTGGCCTTGAACTCCATAATCACCCACCTTGTTTTCCTGGTGTGGCTAGTTTCTCTTTCCAAACATGAAGAAAATTCTAGCCAAACAAATGTTTCCTCAAACAATTGTCATAGCAGCTGTTTTGGGAGCCAAGAGAAGGACGTTATGACACTGGGTTATCAGTGTTGTTGACAAAAGTGCTTAATATGAAATTTGATTATATGTACATACCAATTGTAATCACACTGGGTTATCAGCATTGCTGGCAAAAGTGCTTAATGTGAAAAATAAGTGGTTTTACTGTCTTGATGTCAGGTATGCCCATGTCAACATATATACCACTTCTAATGACAGCCAAATGCATCTGTGAGTTGAACATACTGTATATACAACTCTCATCCTGGCGAATTTACCAAATCGTTTAACTGATTATTCAGCAAGTGGTTTCATTTATATAGGCTTAGTATCATGGAGGTACCTATGAAGCTGAGGAGGTCAAGAAACTTTATAGAAGCTCCGATCATATAACTAGCATATTGTCGGGTGCAGCATTAAAGCAAACTAGTTCTCAGGACAGCGTTACAAACAGGTTTCTTGATTTTGATCTTGATCTTGAATTTATGATTTCATTTTCAGTTTTGGATAATATCTCGAATAGTATAAAGGCATTTATGTAAATAATCTTGCCATGTTACCATAAGAAAATACATGCAGTAGTTGTTTCTCTAGTGTGGAACATACCACTGTTTGATTTCAATCAGCTGATATTACACACTGTTTAATACCAAAGGGCATGTTGGCAGGAAGTAAATTCACTGACAAACATTAAAAACTCTCAACATTCCTGGTTTATTCAATGTAAATTTTAAATGTTTTTTCACATTATTCATCGCTAAATTTTATTATTCTGTGGATTACATACATCTCTACTTTATTACACAGGATAGTAAAACTTGAAAAGGCTATAAACATCAGTTATTAATAGAAACCTGAATGAGCTCTTGTGTGACGACAATGGTCTCAAACAATTAAACACTGATATCTGAGTCGCTAGTGCTTGTCAGTTACCAGAACTCATTAATTCATTTCCTAAAACTGGTATTACACAGGTTCATGTGTAGTATTCCCTGTGTGTTATATTATGAATCCTACACTAACAAGTTGAGATATATTGTTCAAAATACCACTATATAAACAAAGGTTACCATGGCAACATGACTGTTAGTAGGGTATAAATATAAAGTATACCAGTGATAACGATATATAAACCTCTTTCAACATGTTCAGTCTTTTAATGAATAATTTATGAGCATGTGCTGCTAGTGATGTTAATGTATTGGAACACTATTTCTACAATTCCTAAAATTCTGGAACTGTTTTCATGTTTTGAGAATGTTGAGTTGTGTTAGAAATAATTAAATTCATGTTGGTCTGCAGTTTCTTAGATATCAATATTTCCATTACAAAAAGCCATCAATATCTGTTAAGAATTATACAAACTAATATAGTAGTCATGGTAATTAAGCCAATGAAGGAAAAACCTTGAGGTTGTGTTTGCTAATAAACATGATAAACAGCGATGAACATTATGACACAAATTTGACCTCTGTCTATAACATTCAAATTAAGACCATACAAAATGTTAGCACCAGATTATAACCAGTGTTGATTATCATTCAATTAGATTCCATATAAAGTCAT